ATCGCACTCGCTAGGGACCAACTCAAATGTTTATTAATAATTTATATTTGGGTTTATATATTTATTTATTTATTATTTAATTCTTTGCGATAGACAAGGCTTTATAATAGATTAACAAAATCGTAAACTTTATTTCTGTAAGTCTTGCTAATAATTTTTAGCAGGAGTAAGCGATAAGACTGTAACATTTGTGTTTACAAGTCATCTTGATTTTTGTTGACTATTCGTAAAATTTACATTAAAATATTTTAATTCGTAAAATCATTCGATAAATTTGAAGTACATAGTTTGTTTTATGAAAAATACAATTTGATTCCAGAAATCCAATCTAAAGGATTAATTCGCAGTAATTTAACTTTCTTCGCTACTTTAGATTAAAAATGAAAATGCTCTTGCTTCTTGATAATTAAAATTAAAATTATGTGTGCGGCTCCTAAGTCAGCTAATTCAAAATGTCTGAATTAAAGTTTAAATTTAGAATTTAACTTCGTGACATGTGTAACTGTCATGTGGCCTGTAGTAGCGGCTAAGAATATCCAGCACCATCCTCCTGATAACAATAATAAACCGCGATTGCCAACCTGCCAGCCAAGCGTGGCGACTATGGCAAGCACCCCCGAGGAGTGGGGACCGTTTCTTCGTAACTCGATGAGAGTTAACCGGCCTCCAGGCCCTGGCGGCCCCGCTATTCCTGGTTACGTTGGTGACCATGGTAACGACATATAACTTGTATATATAAATGAATGATAACTTGTTCTACCACCGGGGGGCGATCATGTGTCCCAAGGATGTGTCGGATTTATCTTCCAAAAGTTTCTCGTTAACAACGTTGTAAAGATTGTGAGGGTTGCGCACCTTATACTCAGAATCACCAAACGGTATTCGTTGAAGGTCGTACAGGTTTACGCACCAACATCGGCACATCGCAATGAGTAGGTGGAAAAAATGTATGAGGATATCTCTAAAGCCATGCATTCCTCCACAATTATATACGGTGTTAATGGGAGACTTCAACGCAAAACTAAGTACAAGAAAAGAGTGAGCTGAAGGTAGGGAAATTCGGAATACCTATCGGCCAGCAGCTCGCCTACTTTATGGAGAAAGTGACTCTTTATGATGAACTGTCTCTTCCAAAAGAAATAAACACAGAAAGTGGACCTGGTCGAGCCCTGACGGTTCGACAAAAAAACGAGATTGACTTTATCATAACAATGAGACGGCAAATGTTTAGTGATGTCTCAGAGATCGCGAGGGTGAAAAACGGCAACGATCACCAATGGTTAAGGTGTGTCCAAACACGACGCGCGAGGCGCGCGGCAGCCACGCGCGGCATTCGCGGGACACAGGTTGCCGCGCGACTAGTGCACACCTACTGCGCGGCATCGCTGCGCATGAACCGAATTGATTTTTATGAAGTAAATTATTTACATTAAATTTTTTTTTATATTTGATCAAGAATAATTTTTTCAAAAATTTTACTAAGTGTTGGCAGTACAGAAATATGTCTAAAATTAGCGGGGTCTAATGTATTGCCAGATTTAAATAAAGGTATTACTTTACTATGCTTCATTAAATCAGAAAACACACCAGATTTGATACTAGTACTAAAAGTAATAGATAGTTGAGGTGCGATTGCATCTATTATAGACGCAATAACTTTAACGGAAATCCCCCACAAATCGGCGGTTTTCTTAATATCACACTATTCTGATGATATCCCGAACGTCAGACAGACACCAGACAGTCATTACGAATCATCTCGCAAGCAGACTCGACGACTTCCAGCCTCCTGAACAAGCCGTTTTCCGAAAACGCTTTAGCACTATAGACCATAAACATACCCCTCTGGAAATTGTAATGAAGACCGAAGAATACAAAAAACCTAAAAACGAGATTGTACAACCAGTGCGGGTTGCCAGTGATGACTTATGGATCTGAAACATGATCTTTCACTGCTGGCCATATGAGAACGCTCAAGGTTGCTCAGCAAGCTGTGGAGATGGCTATTATGCTCTCTCTGGGTTTCTCTGCGTGATAAACTTGAAAATGGAAATATCCGTGGTAGAACCAGTGATCGACTTAGCCCAACAAATTAACAAGCTAAAGTGGCAGTAGGCCGGCCATATAGCTCGAAGAAACGACAATCGATGGGGAGAAAAGGTTCTCGAATGGCAGCCTCGTACCGGTAGGCGAAGTGTAGGGCGATTCCCTACGAGATAGAATGATTACCTGGCAAGACATGCAGTAAGTCGATGGATGCAGGGGGCTCAGGACCGTGCTTTGTGGCGTTCCTTGGGGGAGGCCTATGTTCAGCAGTGGACTTGTGAGGGGTTGTAATGAATAAAATGAACGAATTACACATTTCAAGTAACGTAAACTAGGTGCACTGTTTACTAGGTGATAGGACTCCTTCTCTGCCCAAGAAACCCCAGTAGGTACCTACTCTTACCTGTTCTTGCCGCCGCACAGTGCAAGCACTGCCGTGTTCCAGTCTGAAGGGTATAGAGCCCGTATAGTTACAGACCAGGTCATACCATACTAGCCCTCAGAAGCGACTACGAATGACTCTTGTATGAAACTGCTTTCAAACGTCCATGGATCATGCAGCCACTTTTTTTAGGATAGGATGACAAACGAGCACACAGTCCACCTGATGGTAAGTGGTTGCTGTGGCCCATAGATATCTACATCTATCCTCGATTACGAAACAAAATGCAGATGCGTTATCACATGTGAGGACTAAAATGGAATGCCGTTTTCAGTAAAAAGGGTACTATCAGGTAGACATAGTTCATAGTCATTTTAGTTTTGTATAAAAAAGTTTAAAAAGCGGCATTATATTGTTATCTATAGAATAAAAATAATTGGTAATACGTCAAGTTTCAAAAATGAAAATCGCGTCCACTCCATTAGCTCAAGCCGCGTACTGTATTACACTAGCCAGTTTAATTTCACTTACAGGCCTGTTAGTGTTCACATTTGATTCGCTCCACAACATTATACCTGTACTATTATAATAAGAACGCATTCAGGCACACGTGCCCATCCAAAATATGCGACTATCAATATAGGTTTATTTTTATTATATAAATGTGATGTAACTAACGAACTTATGGTCCACCTGTTGGTAAGTGGCTTCTGCAGACTATAGACACCTGCAGCTAACTATTCAAACTAATAAGGCTACAGATGCGTTGTACCAGGTTAGTGCGCGAAACTGTTTTTTTTTTTTTTGAAAATTTGACGGCTTCCTGGGCGCAGTGGCTTAGCAATGACTTGCAGCGCTAAAAACCATGGGTTGAATCCCGTACGAAACAAGTATTTGCATGGCCTACAAATAGTTGTTCCGGGTCTGGATGTTTGGCCTTGTGATATTTGTTTGTAAACTGCCCCCACGATACACAGGAAAATCCTAGTGTGGAGGTAATGTTTATTAAAAATAATACAAAAAAACTCCCCCTACTCGTTCGAGTAGTATAATGCTCCGCAATCAACTAGATCCGGTTATTCCACGAGTCACAATCGTTGCCGTTATTCTATACATCTTAGTAACAATTTCGGTACAAGCGAAGAGGCTAATGTTGGAGAGGGGCACACTTATTTGATTTTGGAGATAATATACTGTACAAATTTACTTCCAATGCGTACTTTCTAAAGTGTCTGTTATATAGTTTTGAGAGTATTATCTAACAATTGTCACCTTTGAAGACCAAGGTGGAAGTCCCACAACCTCATAGTACTCTCATAAGCAATTTATTTCCTTATTTAGTACACACCTTAGCACACTGTGTACAATTCTGAATGTTAAATTGTTTTGGTCCTTCGAGCCAGACAAACTGCTAAGTCCTCGGCCACAATATTTTTTTTATTTTTTATATATACCTTCCTCGGCACATTGAATCTGTCGTGTAAAGCAAATCCTATTTAAAACTTTACCAAAAATAAGTGTGCAAACTTTTTAATGTAAAATCTTAGTGACAAAAATTCGTATCTCCTAAGTTTTCTTGCTTAAAAATTTCGCCGTCCGCGATATAGACACAATAGTTAAACGATAGAAATATTCATATATGATTCATGGGATAGGGAAAGGATTAATACGAAATCCTCTATAACATTACTGTAAAAGATTTACAAAATAAATTCGTTTAATTTAATCATATGGTCAATGCCCCTTTGCATATAATATTAAACATTGGGGGAAAAACTAATATTTATTTAAACGTCGACATGTAAACAGAAAAAAACTACCCTCGTTAAAAATAGTTTATTACAAAAATAATAACGCTACAAGTGAACTCCACCTCTACCTACATAATTTCGAAGAAAGAAATTCTTCCATCTTGAAATTATAGTATAGTCCTTATATTTTACTTATTATTAGAATAGTGTTGTTAATAAATAGAACTATGTAGCTTACAACTAACATACATTTAATCAAGGAATTAACACAAACACATTAAAATAATAACATATAAAAATAATTTTACTCAAAAGTTTAACATGCGGAGTAAGAAAGGTAATACAAATAAAAACAATAAATAAATACAGGTAATACGAATACAGGTGTACCTCAATCATCCTTACTATTCGTCTTTTCTATATCAAAATAACTTACAACGTAATCTAAGCTTACTAAACAACTACAAAGTTATTTAACAAAATCTTACAATACGTACCACAAATTTTAATAATAACACAAAAAATTAAATTATACTATGGTCATACAGCAAAAACTACAAGGACATAAAATGATAATAAAACATAAAATATTTTGGAAGATTTATCTAATAGACAGAATAAAAGAAAGAATGTATGTACTGTAACCAATAATGAATAAGTGTTCACTTTTTCACGTCATTTGAGATTATTTTAGAATGACCATCACATGCACTGACTTAATAAGGCACTTGGAGTGAAATTTAATTGGATAGTTTTTAACTACATTGGTGTTCGAGTTACTTAAAAACTACGCTATCTACAATATACGGGTTCAGCCTCACCCGGGCTGTTCCTGGTCAGAGTCAGCATTTTCTTCGCCCTCCTCGTCTTCGTGACCACCTGGAAAACGGATGTTACTTATTTACTGTTATATGGATATTATTATTAATTACAAAAAGAAGTTAATATCAATACCCTGAATAATTGTGATTGTGGTCAACTTATTACTTGATCCCAATGTTTTTTATTTGCGATCAATGAATAAATTGGCCACAAAGATAATTATTTACGAAATTATAAAAATGAACCATATAATATACATATTATTTTTAGTAAGTATAAGCGCCAAACTGCCCTCATAGTTTTATTGTTTGTACCTATATAAAATTATACACGTATGAACAAACAAACGTCCATAAACGAACATGTGTTTACATACGTCATGTTGTTTGTGTGCACATGTGTTTGTAGGTGTATGTTTACGTGCATATTTATTAGAATTTAATAGTGTTTAATTGTCAATGACTGCCTCGGCGGTCTAGTGGTCGTAAACGCAATTTGATCATCAGGTCCAAGGTTGTGATCCCGTCATCCAATCCATCCAATATAACTGATATTTATTATTGGGTTTTTCTGTCAAGAAATTCACAGCAGCAGTGCAGTCAGGAAGTTGGTCGTGTTTTACTTCCGTGCCTCAAAAAACACGCATAGATAGATAGATAGCACTTTATTGTACGCCAAAAAAGAAAACATAAATACGAACAAAACAGGATAACAAAAAGAAATGTGGTACAATAGACGGTCTTACCGTTAAGAACGATCTCTTCCAGACAAACTTTGGATTTGGAAAACCTTTGAACCATGAAGAGTCATGGAGGAACTCAAACCGATCTTTTTGGTAAGGAGGGTAGAAAGGATTAAAAAGTATATTATAAAGAAGCGAGAGAATACGAGTATTCTGACGAAGGTGGATTGGCAATCACTTAATCCTGTTACGAAAATCCGACATATGATCATATTTAAGCAAACCAAATATTAATCTTATACAAAAATTTTAAAGTCGCTAAAGTTTATCAAGTTGCATTTCAGTAAGATCAAGATAGCTGACATCTGCATAATCGAGGATTGGAAGTAGAACGCAATCTTAGTGGCAAAGGTAAAAAATACGTTCAGTGTCGTAATCTTCTCAGAGTGAGCAGCCGCAAAAAGTTTTCGACTAACTTCCTGTAACTGAGTGCCCCAAGATAAAATCTTAGCGATGTATAGACCTAGGTTTTTGACAGTGTCATTAGTCGGGATCATACGAGTACCTATAATAATCAAATACAACATTGGGTGCTTGTGATAAATTAGATTTTGCAAGCACATGTGAAGAACCTAATTATCTTAAGAATTTATCTTAGTAGATATAGAGATAATAAAAACTACAAAAATTTTATGCCGTCGATGTTCGCCCGATTTCCCTCTGGTCGTGTCAGATCACCGTCCCATCGAACTAAGTGAGGCAATAAATATAATCCTGTCCTGCGCTGATAGTTAGTCTCTATTGAGGTAGGGTCTCCATGTACGTGTGTAACGTGTGGGTGTGTAGGCACGTGTACATATGTAAGTACGTGTGCGTGTGCAGGTACGCGTGCGTGTGTTGGTGTGCGTGTATAGAGATGTGTGCAGATGTAGGTACGTGTGGATATGTAGATGCGTGTGCGTATGTATGGAGGACGTTTGCGTAGGTGTGTGTGTGTGTGACGTACGTGCGCGGCGCGTGTAGTGGCGGCGGGCGGGCGGCGGGCGCTCGTCTGGCGCATCGGCCAGCAGCGAGCTGCGGTACGTCTGCAGCGCGCCCCACTCTTCACGCCATGTCATGCCTGCCTGCAGCCGCGACTCCAGAAACTGCGCCCAACAAAAACAAAACCATAATGTCGTATCCATGACCGAGAGAAGTTGCACGTTAACACAAATCTCAACAAATCTTTCAGACTTAAAAAAGGTCTTGTAAAAAACTCACTCTTCAAAAAATTGCTAGGTACCGTTATTACGACATTAAGAGGGCATATGCGTTTCGCGTCGAAAACTACTTGTTTTAGGGTTTTTCCAAGGGCTATATCGTAACGATGTGAGGAGATTATTTGCCGAAAATTAGGGCTTTAGAAAGACGAAGTCTTTATTTAGTACATAGCAATGCAAAATAGTTTTTAATGACGGTTTTTTAGAGCGAAGACAATCCCTTCACAGCGTTTTACGAAAATATGCATCACAGTTATCTTTCAGGTTGAATACAACCATTATTATAAGCTAAAATACTTTATTTTAAGCGTTAGTATAATGGAATATATAGTCTTTTAGTGTACAGCAAAACCTAAATTACGAATATATTTCGATTTAATATTATAAAACAATATTATAAAATCACCAAAACTGTCTACTTCAATGTAATTTTTTTCCGTGTATTTAGTTATAAACATATCTATTTTAATTATTTTATTAAAATACCTGTAATGTTAAACATCTAAAAAAAGTTTTAGATGGTTTTATTTTGTCAATTTTTTTATATAATTATTTTAAAAATACTATAAATCATCACGCGCAGACGCCGTTCGATTCAGTACGCTCCGGGTAATCCCAACGATAAGACGTATCACTTTTTCTCACCGACACCGCGCGATCACGTTGATACACCAATAGGTATATACTACACTATACTATAACTAGCTACCTATAGCACCATCAAGCATTTTAAACGATTGAGACTTTTTAAGCGATATTTTTGGTAGTAAATAATTTAGAAATATGTTTATGGTAATGGTAATATTTAAATAATAAATGATTTAATGGTAGCAAATTTACATTTCATACATATTTTTTTAGAAATGAGTAATGAACGTAAGCAATTCGGGTCAAGTAAAAATACAAAATCGTTGGCTTTCACGTTTGGCTCCGTGGCGGAGTGACTTGGTAATGAGTTGTAGCGCTGAGCGCCGCGGGTTCGAATCCCAGACGGAACAAAAATTTCTGTAACCTACAAATAATTGTTCCGGGTCTGTATGTTTGTCCTTGTGAAATTAATGTATTTAAACTGCCTCCACGATGTACTTAGGAAAAATTTCTAGTGTGGAGATAACATTAGGATTAAACAAAGACATAAAAAAGATATGAGCCGTGCTTGAGTTGAGTAGCTCAAGGGCGAAGTGTTCGCCATAAACGCGAGCAATCCGGGTTCGATCCCCGCCGACACTAATGAAATTGTTAGTTTGATGAATTATGTTTACATTATGAAACAGAATAAAAGTTTATCAAATGATATATATTTTATATAGTACATATTTTTGATTAGAACATATTTTATAATATACTCAATAGGGTGAAAATGTAAAGCCGACTTCAATGTACTAAAAGAATAAAACAATTTCAAAATATTAGCCTCCAATTTCTATTTTCTATATACTATATTACGTGGAAATTATTTTTTTATTCTTTTAGTTCTAATAATATAAAAATGATTCGTGCAACTAAAGCCGACTTTCCACTATGGGATATAATTTATGTTACATCTCGATATATAAATTAATATCGCTCACCGTACTTTTAAATGGAACCGTTTCCACTGAGATATAATATATATTACATCCCAAACTATAAATATTTTTTCGATCGACCGAGCGATATTTTCATATTATATTTCACCTCCTCAGATCATCCAATGACGAACGCACACTGGTTAAAAGATATACCTAACAGTGTGAAGGGCAATCGTGGGATATAATTTATATTTCGGGATATAATATGTATTATATCCCATAGTGGAAAGCCAGCTTAAAAGCAACTAGCGTCGAACTCGCCCTGACACGCACACAGAGATAACATTGTAGTGTGGGTCAATATTACGCCGTTCCAAAGCGATCGCGTAGATTTCGACTTGGACATATTTGAATACGCGCTCTTAAGGATTATTAGAAACAATACGATTCGATTCTTAATAAAAAGTCGAAGTCGAACTTGATACCAAAAAGTATCATTTTTTAATAAGGGTAACAAACGAGCACACAGTCCACCTGAAGGTTTTCATGGACATCTACATTTATTCTAGATTAAGAATCAAAATATAGATGTGTTGTCATTAAGAACCCAAGATCAGAACTAAGATAGAATACCTCGATTCCAGTAAAAAGAGTCTATGGTTCTTTATACTAAGAATACGAAATACAGCAGCATCAAGCTATTATTTTACGCTGGTATTTTGTGAGAGCGTTGTTCTCCCTCGGCGGACCATTTTGTGCTTCAACCATAATATAGTGTAATATGCAGCGTGGCTCTACCACGTATAAAGTGTTTTATTTGTCCCTAAACAGTGTAATACAGAGTCACGGCCTGATTTACTCACAGGCTAACTAGACTGGAGCCTAAGGCGCAAGGTTCGAGTGGGCGCTGAAGCACCTCTGACGTACAGAATAAAATTTAATATTATTATTAAATAATAATAATAACAATAACACTATATATAATAATAATAATAATAACACTGAATTATTTCGTAACTTTCGTCTTTCGTTGACTGGACGTGATTCAGAGATTTTAAACTGCTCAAGCTCTCTTCCTCTCGGTTTATAAAGGTGTTTTGCCAAGGCTGTCCAAGGGGACTTCTGACAGCCATCTCTGTTCCTCCTCCTCACAAGGGAGAACGACTCACGGGCCCATGCCGCAATGTAGAAAGTCGATCTTTTAGTTTCCCTTTTTGAGTCCAACTCAACTCTCAATCTAGGTACAACCCGCCGACCATTCCAAGGTGTGACTGCTCCATGCTGAATGTGTGGTTTACACAGCGCTCACTATGCAAAGCATTCCTCTCCCTGATCGTCAACTAGTCAAGTGGCCCTGTTGGAGTCCTCCCTATAGTGCTGAAGGCGGGTGCTCCAGAGTTTGCACCGGTTCTAACGCGTCTTTTCCGGTACTCCTACTCCCTAAGACCTATGCCACACTGGACAGAAATTCTGTCGCGGATCTACTGCATCAGAACGCTAATACATTTTATTGCGTATAAATTATTGATACCGGGTCCGCATAAGCACTAACCGATCTTCCGCATTGTGTGCCCATTATTAGTCATTTATATGCAATAAAAGGTACTAGCGTTTCGCCGCGGAAGATCTGCGAAGGAATTTCCTTTTAGTGTGGCGTAGACCTAAGCGTAATCCTGAACTTATGGAAGGCAGCTTTAGTATACTCAATTCCTAAACAGGCGACCGCTCAGACGCATTGTGAAGTGGTAGCTACCCGCAGCACGTGGCGCTTGTCCTGGCGCAGTAGCTTGTTGGAGAACTCGGCCAGCGGCTCGAGGAACAGCAGGTTCTGCGGCGGCGCGCCCGCAGCGCCTGCAGCGCTGGACTCCAGCGCCGCAAACGCGATGCCGGCACGGTGCAACGCCGTCAGCGCTTCACGGTTCTTCACCGCGTCCAGCCCGAACATCACCGAGAACCGCTTCGCCAGCTCCTGCGCACATCAAATGTACAATCTTAACAAAACCACTTCTTACGGATTTTATTCTTTTTGTTAATCTCGCTAAAACTCGAAAATGGCTTGACTAATTTTAATGTCTTTTTGTGTTGTAGCTGATGCAGCTCGGTGAACAGCGCCTGCATGGTCAGCTGCATGTGGTGAGTGTAGAGATGCGGGCGAGTACCTTGAGCTCCAGGAACTCCGGCTGCGAGCGCAGCGCGGTGCCGTGCAGCTGCTGCAACTCGGGGAACAGCGCCTGCATGGCCAGCTGCATGTGGTGAGTATAGAGATGCGGGCGACTACCTTGAGCTCCAGGAACAACGGGCTGCGAGCGCAGCGCAGTGCCGTGCAGCTGCTGCAGCTCGGGGAACAGCGCCTGCATGACCAGCTGCATGTGGTGAGTGTAGAGATGCGGGCGAGTACCTTGAGCTCCAGAAACTCCGGCTGCGAGCGCAGCGCGGTGCCGTGCAGCTGCAGCAACTCGGGGAACAGCGCCTGCATGGTCAGCTGCATGTGGTGAGTGTAGAGATGCGGGCGACTACCTTGAGCTCTAGGAACTCCGGCCGTGAGCGCAGCGCGGTGCCGTGCAGCTGCTGCAGCTTGGGGAACAGCGCCTGCATGACCAGCTGCATGCGGTGAGTGTAGAGATGCGGGCGACTACCTTGAGCTCCAGGAACTCCGGCTGCGAGCGCTGCGCGGTGCCGTGCAGCTGCTGCAGCTCGGTGAACAGCGCCTGCATGGCCAGCTGCATGTGGTGAGTGTAGAAATGCGGGCGACTACCTTGAGCTCTAGGAACTCCGTCTTCTAGCGCAGCGCGGTGGCAGCTCGGGGAACAGCGCCTGCATGACCAGCTGCATGTGGTGAGTGTAGAGATGCGGGCGACTACCTTGAGCTCCAGGAACTCTGGCTGCGAGCGCTGCGCGGTGCCATGCAGCTGCTGCAGCTCGGTGAACAGCGCCTGCATGGCCAGCTGCATGCTGAGGGCGCAGCTCAGCTTGTTGATCTCGCGCGCCTTGCTCAGCGTCGCCTTGATGATGTCACCGTAGTCGTTGTAGCACTGCGCCACACAAACAAAACAAACAGGTGAATATCTGGGGTGCGAGGTCTGGGCGATATGTTGGCTGTACTGATATTTTCCAACCAAGCTCTTCTAACTTTTGTTGAGTGGCCAAAGATCTGTGGTCTGGCGTTATCATGATGAAAGCCACTCCTTTTCTGTTAATCAATTGCGGCCGTTTTTTCTTAATTGCTAGCTTGAGTCTTATTAGTTGTTGGCAGTAGAGATCCGAATCGATAGTTTTGGCCGTTAGCGGCGGTTAAGAATATCCACTACCCCATATCTTCCCGTGGGTGTCGTAAGAGGCGACAGAGGGAGACAGGCAGGAGATGGGCAGCAGCATCTTCCTGATAACAACAATAACATAATAAAAAACTGCGGTTACCAACCCGCTCGCCAAGCGTGGCAACTATGGCAATATACCACCCATGAACAATTACACAAATAGACGGCCTCCAGTCCCCGGCGGCCCCGCTATTCCTGGCTACGACCATGGTAACGGCGGGGCAGGGGTGCTAAGAATCTCCGGTGGAGGTTCGGTTGCCACCTACGACGACTCGACCTGGCAACATTTAACGCACGCACCCTGAGGACTGACGAGAAGATCCTGGAGCTGGCAGAAGAGATAGACAAGTTGCGCTGGAATATTATAGGATTATCCGAGGTCCGAAGAGAGGGGGAGGACACCGACTTGTTCTATCACCGGGAGGGCGACCATCGGTCCCAAGGAGGTGTCGGATTTATCGTCCACAAGTCTCTCGTTAACAACGTTTTAAAGATTGGGAGTGTATCGACGAAGCTTGCGTACCTTATACTCAGAATCACCAAACGGTATTCGCTGAAGGTCATACAGGTTAACACGCCAACGTCGGAACATCCTGATGAGGAGGTGGAGAAAACGTATGACGATATTCCTAGAGCCATGCATTCCTCCAAAACTCACCATACGGTGTTAATGGGAGACTTCAACGCAAAACTGGGCACAAGAAAGAACGGTGAGCTGAAGGTAGGGAAATTTGCGATAGGGCAACGGAACCCAAGGGGCCAGCAGCTGGCCGACTTCATGGAGAAAGAGGGACTTTTTATGATGAACTCTTTCTTCCAGAACCGGCCCCACAGAAAGTGGACCTGGTCGAGCCCCGACGGTTCGACAAAAAATGAGATTGACTTCATTATGACGACCAAACGCCAACTGTTTAGTGATGTCTCAGTGATAGCAAGTTTGAAAACTGGCAGCGATCACCGAATGGTTAGAAGCACACTGAACCTATACGTTAAGTTGGAGAGGTCTCGTCTAATGAAGTCAACGCTCCGTCCCCCTCGTGCTCTAATCCAGAATCCCGAAACCTTTCAGCTCGAGTTACGTAACTGCTTTCAGTGCCTAGAAGATTGCAATGCAGTGGACGATATGAATGACAAGCTCGTGGGAACTGTCCATGCGGTCGGAGCTAAGTTCTGCAAGACCCGTCGCAGAAGAACACAAAAACTCTCCGATCACACTCATCACACATCTCATGGCTGTTAGACGGGAGATGAGGCTGCAATCGTCAACAGACTTGATAGCATACAGGCAATTGAACAGACAGATCTCCAAATGCATGCGACGAGACTTACGCAACTTTAATACTGCTCGTATTAAAGAAGCGATCGAGCGGAACCAGGGCCTCAAAGTCTTTGCCAGAGATCTGTCTGCCAGAAACAGCCAACTGTCAAAGCTGAAGACTGACTGTGGCAGCATCGTGTCCGGGACACCTGAGTTTTTGAGTGAGATTGAGAGGTTCTATGGGCCACACGCAAGTGTGAGTAACGATCCAAGAGCAAGTCTTATCCGACACTCATCATCCATCATATCCCGTACAAGTCCACTGCTGAACGATAGGCCTCCCCCAAGTAATGCCACAAAGCACACTACATGATAAGTGGGCAGAGCCCCAGGAAAGGATGGAATTACAGCGGAGCTTCTGAAAGCGGGTGGAACACCGGTACTTACACCGGTCCTTCAAAAGCTCTTCAATTCCGTCCTTCATGGTGGCACTTGTGGTGGTCTTGTTCTTTAAGAAAGGACGAACGCTCTTTTGAAGAACTACAGACCGATTTCCCTTCTGAGCCGCGTCTACGTGCTGTTTTCGAGAGTCATTACGAATCGTTTCGCACGCAGACTCGACGACTTCCAGCCTTTCGAACAAGCCGGTTTCCGAAAGGGCTTCAGTGCCATAAACCACATACATACTCTGCGGCAGATTGTACAGAAGACCGAAGAGTACAATCTGCCACTTTGCCTGGCGTATGTGGACTATGAAAAAGCCCTTTGATTCCGTCGAAATTTGGGCGGTGCTACAGTCCCTTCAGCGGTGTCAAGTTGACTGTCGGTATATAGAAGTGCTGAAGTGTTTGTACAGTAAGGCTACGATGGCTATCCGAGTACAGAACCAGAGTTCGAAACCTATCCAACCGCAGAGAGGTGTAAAACAAGGTGACGTTATTTCCCCGAAACTCTTCACCGCTGCTTTGGAAGACGTTTTCAAGCTACTGGACTGGAAAGGATACGGTATTAACATCAATGGCGAGTACATCACTCACCTTCGATTTGCCGACGATATAGTCCTTATGGCAGAATCGCTGGAGGACGTAAGCACTATGCTCAATGACCTCAATGGTGTCTCCCAACGGATAGGTCTTAAGATGAACATGGACAAAACAAAGATCATGTTTAATGTCCATGTCACACCTATGCCGGTAGTTGTTGGGAGCACTATACCCGAAGTTGTAGAGTACGTTTACCTGGGACAAATAGTCCGACTAGGTAAGTCCAACTTCGACCGAGAGGTCAATCGACGGATTCAACTCTGCTGGGCAGCGTTTGGGCAATTACGACACATCTTCTCGTCAGGTATACCTCAAACTCTTAAAACTAGATTGTACAATCAGCGCGTGTTGCCAGTGATGACTTACGGATCTGAGACGTGGTCCTTCACTGCTGGCCGTACGAGGACGCTCAAGGTTGCTCAGCGAGCTATGGAGAGGGCCTATGCTCGGATTTTCTCTGCGTGATGGACTCAGAAATGAGGATATCCGCAGTAAAACCAGAGTGACCGATTATAGCCCAACGGATTAGTAAGCTGAAGTGCCAATGGGCCGGCCATATAGCTCGAAGAACCGATAACCGATGGGGAAGAAAGGTTCTCGAGTGGCAGCCTCGTACCGGTAGGGGTAGTGTAGGGCGACTCCCCCACTAGATGGAGTGACGACCTGGTAAGACATGCAGGAAGTCGATGGATGCAGGTGGCTCAGGACCGTGCTTTGTGGCATTATTTGGGGAAGGCCTATGTTCAGCAATGGACTTGTGAAGGGCTGTGATGATGATGAGCTTTGGCCGACCACAGCACAGCACTACCTTATTGCGTGCTAATCCGGGTTTAGCTACAGTCTGTGAAGCTTGACTACCGTTTGACCAGGATCTTTTTCGCACGTTCTTGTCGTGAGTGACGCACTTTTCATCACCAGTGATCAATCTTTTCAAAAATGGGTATCTTTTCAGGGTATGTATGTGGTCTATGGTACTGAAGCCTTTTCGGAAACCGGCTTGTTCGGGAGGCTGGAAGTCGTCGAGTCTGCGTGCGAGACGATTCGTAATGACTCTCGAAAACAGCACGTAGACGCGGCTCAGAAGGGAAATCGGTCTGTAGTTCTTCAAGAGAGCGTTGTCGCCTTTCTTAAAGAACAAGACCACCGTACTTCTGCTCCACGCCTCCGGAGTAGTGCCACCATGGAGGACGGAATTGAGGAGCTTCTGAAGGACTTCAAGTACCGGTGTTCCACCCGCTTTCAGAAGCTCCGCTGTAATTCCATCCTCGCCTGGGGCCCTGCCGTTTTTAAGGTGCTGGACAGCCATTCTAATCTCGCTCAGTTGACTGACGTCCGGGATATCATCGGAATAGTGTCGGGTAAGATTTGCTCTTGGATCGTTACTCACACTTGCGTGTGACTCCAACGATGATGTGTACAGCTGCCCATAGAACCTCTCAATCTCACTCAAAATCTCAGGTGTCCCGGACACGATACTGCCACACTCAGTCTTCAGCTTTGATAGTTGGCTCCTTCTGGCATACAGCTCTCTGGCAAAGACTTTGGAGCCCTGGTTCTGCTCGATCGCTTCTTTAATACGAGCAGTATTAAAGTTGCGTAAGTCTCGCCGCATGCATTTGGAGGTCTGTCTGTTCAGTTGTCTGTATGCTGTCAAATCTGTTGACGATTGCAGCCTCATCTCCCGTCTAACAGCCATGAGATTAAGGGTCCCCATCTCCACATGAGCAACGACGCAAACAAACGGCCCCCAGTCACCTTTTACGTAAATCCGAAGAATTATGTAGTTACCTATATTTCATTAGAACGTGTATAGTTTTTTATCACTACTTTCTTTCGAATACTTTTCATTTGAATCTTTCAAACAATGCAAAAATATAAAAAAAAACAACCAGTATCAACGTTTTTGATTTACAACGATATGTACCTTACCGTAGTGTTTGGATGATTAAAAATCATTGTTATACGAATAATCGGCAAAAATATTCAAATAATCGGTAAAAATATATAAATAATCGAATCATTAATTTTTTAAAAGTAATATTTGTTTAATTAAATTTATATTTATAAAATTCCTTAAATTACATGAATCATGAATAAAACAAGTTATTTTTTTTTTACTTTGTCAACGTAAATTTGTGTAGGCAAAAAACTCATATACAAAGCCGCGCTGAAAAAACCACTACGTAATTTCAATCTCCCGCCATTTCATAATTTTTGATTTTGTGTCTGTCTTATTGAGGGGCGTTGGAGAAAGTTTTTTTGTTTGTTTGAAGTAGAGTTTATAATATTTTGTGCAATATTAGTTTTAAGTAATATAATGACATGAATAATTCTGTTATTAAAATTTGATGGGTCTTAATGGTTTTTTTGCAAAATTTTGTTACTCGGCTTTAACTTTTTGGACTGTTTATTCTATACTCGTTAAAGCATGTGCCCATGTCACAAGAGATGATTGAGCAAAAGTGTTAGAAAAAACAAAAAAATTGACTATGGTGACTTTGAGAGACATTAATTTAGACCGTTTTATTGAAAATCAAATAATAATAAATCTAAACAACGACAGCTCAGCTAGTTGTACTGAAAGTGATTAAGTAATTTTTTTTAATCTAGTTTCAATCTTAAATATTTATATAACTTTGCCTCTAGAAATAAGCACTAACAACAAATACGAAGAAACTAATAAATCTTGTGTTTTAAATTATCCGTTTTTAATTTACTTTTGTATTATATAAACCAAACTGTAAATGATTACCAACTCTAAATAATCGATATCGAATTTTTTAAGAATCGGATATTGTACCTTCCCATTTTTTGGGGAAGGCTGTCAAAATGTATTTCTTACATTTGGTTGACTATAGGGAGTTTTGGCGGGAACTTTGCCGTAGACGGATTGTCGCTTGAATAATGTTTTGAAGTGGATTTTGATTCGTAAAAGTGATGCGTTTTGTGAATTAAGTGTCCGCGCGTGTGAACTATTAGAGAAAACGACGAAACAAGTGCTTTGATGTTGATTTAAACCTCAAGTTATTTTGATCGCTTGGGCGCCTTATGAACTTGAGTGGCTGTTCGTCATCAACTGTCCGCTGGGTTGAGCTGTCGTCAAAATCTCCCAAGGGCTTCGCAATGTGACGCATCAGCATATTGTCAAGAAAAAATATAAAAATGAAGATTCCCAAAGAAAGGATAGGCTCAGAAGGTCTAGAAACCAGAGCTGTAAAGCCAGTTAATAAAGAAAGAAATGGTTGACTATAATTGTTAATGCGTAGTTTTAGATTGGTGCGGGCATATTTTTGCCCCTTGCGTTTGTATATTTCTTTGTTTTAAATGTGTGTATCAAATATATGGTTTTTTCTTTCTTTTGAAAGCCAGGAAAATAGTAGGAATATTTTCATCCAACGATAATGTGACACAAGAATACCTTAATATAATGTTTGAAAACATCCGCGGCTCGACGTATGGGCGCCACGTTGTACACGATGAGCTTGCAGTACGCGGCCAGGAAGTTGCGACGTTTGTGTAATTCCTCGATACGTCTCTCATCTTGACCATCTGCAACGCGGTGCTCATTAACACTACATTGAAAAACTTCATGTACACCAACAACTGTCTACGTAAACCTTGGAAATAAGTTTCTGCATAAAATCTATATTATTTTCATTAAATTTGATTTTATAAAAAAGTAATAGCCAAATACTCAAACGCTACTCAATTTCAAGATTTGGTTCTCGTGGTTTCGCAGTCACTTTGATTTAAAGTGATAGAGACAGCACCAGACTTAACAGAATTTTAAAATTGGGCAGCGTTTGAGGGTATGTATATAAAGGGTAACTACAAAATAAATTTGTAGTTTTCAAGAAACTACAAACGAACGAAAATTTATAACTCCGCTGAATGAAGTGATGGCTTCATTTCATTCAGGTATGTAAGCAAAGGCTTTTAATACTCATTAAGTATATATTTTATTAATGCTCAAGGGTTACGCAGATCAGTTTTAATGGTCACTATATTTCACTCTCAGACTAAACAATCAAGCTTCACCAAACAACAAGCTGAAACACCTCCGGACGACTCGATTAAATCACTGTCCCAGTCCGTGGTGATTCAGCTTCAACAGCTGCCATAAATCATAAGTATACATGCAACTCATCTAAAATATTTTATCTACATGTCACATGTACACTAAGCTCTGTTTCATTTTATATCGTGGCTAAATTAGTAGTAAAGTGAAGATTGAAGACACCCATTAAGAAATTTAGTAAAGCAAAGTGTAAATTTAGCTTCGTTAAAAACCAAGCTAAAGCCCCTTGTGATACCACATGACAACCTCCACGACCAATTGAAACTTAGAAAAACTTATACATAACAATAACAGAAGAACGCAACTCAAAATGATCGAATGCACTGCACAAAACCATGCTCAAAATTACAAAAACCCTGAAGGTGTTAATAAAAATAAAACTGCGATCCGAGACCGCGAGCTGTATCTGTCTTTCTGTAAATTGAGATCGCGATTCCTATCACCTATTGATATTGTGGCGACACGAGCTCGGGATGAGGAGTACTACTCGTACATGAGACTTGAGACCGATGTCACAGCAGCGTACTTGTACAGTGTACAAAAAAGTGGTAAAGTAATGCAACGAGATTTACGCGGTAGTCATGCTGTAGGTATATCAATTAGGTCGGCTCGGTCGGGGTAGGGCCACGCTTTTACAGAATACCAGCTTAATGCTGCTGTTTCATATGGTGAGTGTAGAGAACTGGAGACCCTTTTTACTGGAAACGAGGCATTCCATCTTGGTTCTCAGAGATGAAAACACATCTGCATTTTCAACAGATTTCTAATCGATGATGAATGTAGATGTCTGCAGACACAGCATCTACTTGCCATCAAGTGGACTGTGTGCTCGTTGGTCACACTAATTTCATTAAAAAAAAAGATGGTCAGTAACATTTTCTCGATATTGATTCAAAAATATCTTGCTGCACAAACATCGCACGCGGGGTGAGGCACGCGAGTCTCACGTAGCGGACACGGCTTCGGTTTCGGATCGCGTTTTCGTAGAGCGTTCGCGACAATTTTCCCTTAGTAATGTTAGGTGGTACAAGTCGCGGGGTGCGCGGGGTGCGCGGGACGGGCGAGCGCGAGCGGAGACAAAAATATGCATTATTTGCGCGCGGCGGTGGACTGTGTGCGTTCGCGTGGCATTACTAAGGCAAAATCCGGCGTCGCAGTTGTGAGCGTGCAGGTGCTTACCGTAGGGGACGCCGCCGCCGCCGCGCGCACCAGACATGCAACCAAACACACCACCGTTACAGCGGCCCCCACTAACGACACAACGCTCACACTCCTCTTTCCGACCAAAGGGGGAATAATGCATATTTTTTCTCGGAGCCACCGTTCGAGAGGCGACCGACGGCACGGCGACGGTAACTTGCCGTTAGCGAGCCGAGTTAAGTCAAATGAAATCATTATTTACAATTTTTTATACTGTGAACCCCCAAACATAAATGTCACCCGATACCCTATATCTAAACATAGACACGTGAAGCCCCAATTTAGAAAATAAAAACCATTTTTTTAATTTGTTTTATCATTTTAAGCTTGCAGCGCTCAAAAAATCTTGGTGGTACCCGAGTCAACCCCTTCGCAAACAATATATAATAACAACAACTATCAAATTAACAGGTTATGTTCGTTTGATTATACTGCTTTAACAAAATAAATGACTTTCAAAGTAAACTGGGTCATAAAGGTTCTAGCGGCCAAATAAAGCAAAAGGATGGACAAAACTTATCAACATGTATAAGTAATAAACTCTACAAATGATAATTAGCACATTGTACATGACTAAATAACATTTCGAAGATGCAATGTTTCTTTGTATTTGTACAATTCATATGTAAGTATTGTTTTCCGACACAAAATTAAGTATATAGAAAGGCTGGTGAATTTTTATTCAACCAGTAGTTATCCAGCAAACAGTTGGCAAACCAAAATTACGAGCAAAATCATAAACTTCTAATACATCTGTGTTCAAAACAGTTAAATATAACATTGACACTCCAGATTTCGCCTTTTAAATGTAAAATAGGAACTCGATAGTGAAATGAACGAACAAGAATGTAAAGAAGTTAAAACTTTAACTGTAACAATTTAGAATTCCGTAGCCCAAAGAAAATAAATATAGGAAAAGGGCACGGTTGACTCTTTTTATTACTAAAGTTTTTAGTCAATTTTCTGCACTTTTGCAGTAAATAACACCAACATCGTAAAATATAAATTCGGTTAAATAAATAAATACCATCATGATGGAATGCATTTTACGATATAACACTATCGTCCACTAAAGAATTGAGATTGTAATGTATAAAATTGAGCAAGTTTTTTACGTCGGTCAGGCAATATACATTGATGGATGATTCCTGTGAGTTGTGTTCCGTTTCTTCATTGACGCTATTGTCTGTGTGGAGCAAGAATAAATAAAACAATAAATTCAGAATGGATTCATCAGGATTTTGTGAACATAATTGTGGCAAATCATTTTATATCGCTTGTATTAAGCAAAACAAATACTATACAATATGCATTGTTAACTTCAATTCAAATGAGATAAGCGGGGTTCCTCAGGGGCCAATTCTCGGTCCAATTTTATTTAACTAATTATAAATCATATATTTATCTTTTTAAAAGTTAATTGCAGAAATGGTTGAGACAGGTGATGCTAAGAGCATTAAAATTTACAGGCCTATCACATAATAAATTTTGCTTGATGTTGCTGCTGGAATGAAAGGGTAAGATGATGTGTATAAATAAATGTATTGTACCAGTTTAATAACTGTGTACCTATTGATCTTTTTTTTTAATTTTTGTGTTATATGTATAATTTTCAATATAAGACAATTTCGACAATTTAACAACTTTACAAGAGTAATTTATTAAATAAGCAAGGAATATATCTACTATAGTAACTGTCAAACAGGCTACGGAATCTAAATTTTACCAATATTAATAAGTTAAAAATATATTTAAAGAATTAGATGGTATTACAATCAAAAATTTAGACAGAGATACATGAGCAAGTATAAAAATGTCGCGCAACTCAAACTCGAAAACCCAAACGCGAAATCTGAGCATATTGTGGGATAATGCAGACTGTAGAGTGATTGTGTGTGTGTGTGTGTGTGTGTGTGTGTGTGTGTGTGTGTGTTTTTTGTGTGTGTGTGTGTGTGTGTGTGTGTATGTGTGTGTTGTGTGTGTGTGTGTGTGTGTGTGTGTGTGTGTGTGTGTGTGTGTGTGTGTTGTGTGTGTGTGTGTGAGCAGCGACGAGACAGTTGACGGTACCGTAGTTGGGCTGCACGAAGACGAACTGCTGGATGAAGTCGTTGAGCAGGTCGCAGAGCGGCGCGTCGGGCTCGTACACCAGACGGCGGAAGTGCGGCTCCGCCGCGTGGTGGCAGCGTTTGCAGCTGCTCCGCGAAGAAGATCAGCAAGTCGCATATACTCGTGTACGCCTGCAGGTGCCACAACACGTTATTACCAACCGTATTGACAAACCTTCCTCAACGATCAACTCAACTACGTAATCATTTAATCATCATCATCATTACAGCCCTTGAGTCTACTGCTGAACATAGGACTCCAAGGTATGCCACTAAGCACGGTTCTCAGCCACGTGCTTCTAGTGACGATTTAAATATCTTACCGGGCTGTCATTCCTTCAAATAGGGTGGGCATATCAATCATTTAATACGCCTTGATATTAGCATCACAAGATCGTTGTTAATTAATAAACGCATAAAAACAGTATCTCAGTTACCAAGATCGGTTCCTCAAGACGCTATATTTAGGCATAATGTTTAGTGTTTGTGGGCTTGTTCTCCTGAATTATTACATGACATTTTCTGAAGTTTAGAACATCATTCATTAGTTCATTACATACATATATACATTGAATATCATGTAATATTTATTAAAATAATTTTAATAAAATTTAATGCACCTGAGCTATGGAACGTTTATTAATACGGCCTTACCATGAAGCATATACTATGATATATTATGAAGGCAGTTGCGTTTGCCGCATTTGTCCTGAATAAGGGCCATTATGTAAAGACGTTTTATTTCTCAGTGGCGACGAATTATTTTTAATCTAGTCCAGTAAGCCGCCCGCGCCGTCCCCTGCGCGCACCACGTACCTCCTCGCGCAGCGCGGGCGTGACGCCACACGCCACGGTGTCCCTGCAGTGCGCGCAGTACACGTGCAGACCCTAGCGCAGCAGCTCGGCGTCGCCCGCCCCGCCGTCTGCACCGCCCCCCGCGAACACCACGTACCTCCTCGCGGAGCTCGGGCGTGATGCCGCGTGCCACGATGTCCCTGCAGTGCGCGCAGTACGCGTGCAGACGCTCGCGCAGCAGCTCAGCATCGCCCGCTGCGCCGCCCCCCGCTCCACCCGCGCCAGCCCCGCGCTCCTCTAGCTCGTGCAGCGACCACAGGATCGAGTAGAAGCACGCGCGCACAACGTACACCAACGCCTGCCGAGTCACCTCAACCATTACGCAACACCTACTGTTATCACTCAATTTTTATATACTGTAATGGATGGATGGAAACACGTGGTATTCATCAAAAAAAGACCGCAAACACAAACATCACATAGTCACAAAATACCAGCAACAAAACTACAAAGCAGCTGGATTTCAATTTCAATGGTAGATGTCTATAGGACTATGGAGCACAATTATACACTGACCATCAGGAGCACTGTGTACTCTTTGTCACCCAATCATTTATAAAAAAAGTCTTCATTAACCCATAACAGTATTAATCTATAAAAGAAATATACACTAGTCACATAAATTAATAGAGAAAAACAATAACAAAATTTTTTTATCATTTTTGGTTATGAAATGGATCTTAAGAAAACCAGCAAAAAAATATTTTCCAAATTTTTAATCGGCTTAAAAAAAGTCTACTGCCTTTTTTTTTTCATTATTTTACTATTAAGCTCTTTTAGCAAATTCAACGACCTTTAATTTGACGTAATCAAAAACCTGTACGATCATTATTTCCAGTTATTTATTATCAAAGTTAATGATTTGTTATCATTTTGCTTTAAACGATAACAAATCATCGTACAGGCTTTATGATTACGTCAAATTAAAGGTCATTAAATTTCCAAAAAGAGCTTACTAGTAAAATAATGAAATAAAAATTTTTTTGAAGCCCGTGGACTTTTTTTTAAGACAAGCAAAATTTTAGAATTTTTTTCCGTAATTTTCATATAAACAGATATAGACAGAATCCTCATATAATACTTGAAAAAAAGTTTAATCAGTCCTGATTTAGAGGGAGAAACAGGGACCAAGAGAGATGATAATTTTGTCACTATGTAATTAGTTCACGATGCAGTTGCCTCTCTCACTTGTCTAACTCAATCGTTCAGGCACAGCGCGATAGCAGTAGGTCTGTTAAAACTTATTCTTCAAATATCTTACTATCCGCATTTCACTTATGTTAATTACAAAGCTAATATTCAAAGCTAATAGTTCCCAAGTATTTAGAATTCGTACCTGTGCAGGCATTGGGTCATTCTCCACAACACATCTTGGTAGATCCTCAAACAACGATTCCCAAATGTTTGTATCATTCAAATTGTGACACATGTACATTATGGATACTTTGCGCAATGAATTGGTTACATTGAACAGTTCGTCTGCATCTGGTGTCTCTCCCTAATACAGAAATAAATTTAATTTAATATGATATAAACAAATAAATTTAAACATAACAAAAACTCCATTACATTATATTGTATTTATATGTATTAACCTTTTATCAAGACACTTTAAGCTAAATTTCAATAACATTTTCGTAGGTATGTAATTTTATATTTTTATACCTTTGTTGACTTCAGATAGTTATTGTAGAAACATTTTTGACATATATTTTAAGAACTGTTTATTGCGACGTTAAGTACGTAACTAGACCGCTAGTCTAGTCCGTCAGTCGTTTCGTGGGTGTGGAGACGACAGAGGGAATCAACAAAACTGCGGTTGTCAACCCTCCTGTCATGCGCCGCAATGAGCCAACCTGTCGGGGAGGCCTGCTTCAGCTGTAGACCTTGGATAGGCTGTAACGGTAATTCGGAAAGGATTTATAACTTTTTAGTGAAATGCTTCCACTCGTACCACTGGTTCAAACAAAAACCTCTAGCGCAGAAGGAAATAGCAAGAAATCCAGTGAGTCTTATTTAGGAACAATTTACAGTACAATTTTGTAGAGCCGTGGTAGCTCAGATGGTTAGCGCTCGCTGTAAATTTCATAATACGCGAGCAAACCGGGTTCGATCCCCGCCGGCACCAATGAAATTGTTAATTGCAATTTTAAGAGCTGATTTACCACGTGCTCGTCGGTGAAGGAAAACATCATGAGGAAACCTGCATGTCTGAGAAATAAGAAAAAAAATATTTCGAAGACATGTGAAGTTCGCCAACACGCATTGGGGCAGCGCGGCGGACTATTACTTGCCCTAAAACCCTCTCAGAAATGAGAGGCCTGTGCCCAGCAGTGGTACGTATATAGGCTGTAACTTTACTTTAACTTTTACAATGTTGTACAGTTAAATATTAAACATTTGCTTGGCAGGCAGATGAGACTGACAATCTGTAATGTGCAACGTAAACGAGATGACTATATTTCCTTATTTATAATCCTGTGGGATTTTGTAAGAGGCGGCAGAGGGAAACTGAAAAATAAGATGTATATTCGTCATTGGTTGATGCTTGTTGGTTGTTGCCCAACTCACTATTAATAAAAATACTGCAGTTGCCAACCTGTCTGTCAAGAGAAGCCTATGTTAAGCTTTACTAGTTAGGTAAAAGAAGGTACATTATGTAAAATACAAATATGGTACATGTACATGATAAAAGTATTGTAATTACAACCATAGGGCGGACACCTGGCGGCCTGAAATACAGGCGTAAAGCCTAGCTTAGGCACCAGTCTCCCACAGTATAACATTAAAGTATAATATTTTCATATTATGTACAATAATTATGTAATATTGTGAGAAAATAAATCATTTATTTATTATTATGTTTAGCAGTGAACGTCGATGGGCTGTAATGAATGAAAAACATATCAGCATCTGTCAGAACCATGTAGTTTCACTCTGGCTTTTTCAATTATTGTAATCTTTTAAGATAAATGGAGGACGCAATGGTTTTTTTTTTTTTTTTTAATTTATTATATTTGATTTACAACAATTACATGCCTATCAAATGCAAGTAATTGTATATATATTGAACATAAGCCTTCCTGTAGATTATTTTATAAGGGTATTTGTTATAGTTGAAAAGTTTGGCAAACCAGTTGGTAACAACAGTTTTATAATATCTTGAGGTTTTGTTGTTAAAGATGCTGCTGCATAATTGTCGCTGCTTATGTCCATGGTACTATGGAGAGTAGTGTGCAGGTGCGGTGGTGCGGTGGTCAGTACTCACGCCCTCGATGAGGTTGCGGAAGTCGTCGATCGCCTCGCGGTACTTGTGCGCGATGGTGTCGACGAGCGTGGCGCGCGCCACGTTGCAGCGCGAGTACACGGCGCAGCGCTCGGCGCACAGCAGCTCCAGCGTGCGCGCGCACGTCTCCAGCACCTCGCACTCCGTCTGCGTGCTCATGATCTCGCGCACCTTGTTCAGCAGCAGCGTCAGGTTCTGCGACCACACAATGCATCTCAACACTCCACGAATACATATATTTCGCACATTGGACCTATAAAATATAAATAATTTTTTTTTTACATCATTTATAGTGAAGTGCTACTTCTTATTTGTTTGTGGTGAAAACTAACACTTTACATTTCATTTTAGTCCCTTCTGACTATTTTATTTCTCACGTGAACGACACAGTATTTGGAATGACACTTTCATAAATTGTTAGGAGACAAAATATAAGCAAATAACTTTTAAAATCAGACAATTTCTTTAACTTTTATTTAAAAAACGAACAACAAAGTTACTTTTGTGCCTTCTATTTTTTTTTATTAATGTAACGGTTTCTTGAACCAAGCTGCTGCTATATTATAATTGTGCCATGAATAGGTCGGTTTGACCGGGGAAGGACCACGCTCTCACAGAATACCAGCGTAAAATAGCAGCTTATTGCTGCTGTTTCATACGGTGAGTGTAGAGAACCGGAGGACTTTTTACTGAAAACAAGGCATTCTATCTTAGTTCTTAGGGGTGACAACACACTTGCATTTTGATTCTTATAATATAATAATAATAATATAACAATAATAAGACCTTTTAATCTGAACTTAAATATATAAATAATATATGTTATATTTCTTTTTTGTTTTTATAAAATGTTCCGAAGGTCAGTTTGCCTCTTGGAATAGGCCTCCTCTAACATTTTCCACTGGGACCTGTCCCGTTACTACCCTTCTCCAGTGATGTCCCGCCGTGAGTTTTAGGTCGTCATCCCATCTTGTCTGTTGGCATCCTCTACTTCTCTTGCAATCTCTAGGGTACCAATCTGTGACCGCTTTACTCCATTTCTCTTGTGGATCTCGTATCATATGACCTGTCCATCTCAATTTTCTTGGTCTATTCGAGTTAATTTATCAGCAACTTTGATTTTTTCTATTATTTCGCAACATCTCACTCTGTCCTGTTTCTTTATACCTATCAAGTTTCTTTCAATGGCTCTTTGGCAGCGTTCCAGCTTTACCCTATAATGTTTGGTGAGTGCCCAGGTTTCACATCCGTAAGTGATGACTAGAGGTATACGTGTTGAAGACTTTCCTTTTTATTTGCATACTTAGTTCCTTGGATTTAAAGACTTCTTTGAAGGGCCAGTATTTATTCCATGTTTCATATTCTTCTTTTAATTTCTTTGGTAGTTGATCTTTATGGATATGCTTTATTAAGTAGATGTTGTGGGTTTGTCAATCTAATTTTACTGATTCGGAGTTTGTGAGCAGTTTTGTTTTGTCTTTGTTTATGCATAGGCCTACTTTCTTACTTTCTTCGTTAAAAGTTTCTATCATTTTACTTAGATGCATTGGGTTTTCCTCAAATAAGACTTCGGTGGTTTAGTTTGTAGCAGCCAGGCTAATCAACCCTAAATAATATATACCCTGCTGCTACCATAACACAGGAGGCTTCGCCTTTAACATTTATTTCCCAACTATCCCCGGCTACTGAGATACTGCGGGCTGCATATTGATGCGAGATAATTTGACGTATATATTTAACGTTCTATTAAAGAAACAAGAAACAGCCGCAAATATCATTCAGCGCCACATCGTCTTCACACGCCGCTATCGTCATGGACGGATAGTCAACCATTTTTGAAGCCGTTTCTTCAACGCCGCAGCTCGCTTCTTCTTGCTGTTCCGGAGCTGTGTCCCACGCCGCCGCCGCTCGCCGACTCCGCGCGCGCGCCGGCCTGCACAACTTTTATAGCCCAGTCCAGCGACGTAGCTACGAGAAGATATACACGAGTCTCACGCCGGCAAATGCGTTCCGCACATAATAGTTGTATTTTGTTTAATCTTTATTGGTCATAATGTAAGAATGCTAGGCAAATAATTTTTTTTTATTATTGGTAAACTAGCGACGTAGCCGGACATATAAATATTGGCAGGGTTGACGTAAAAATATATTCCATATTCCATACTCAATACTCCATTCATCGGCACACCAAAAAAGTAGTTTCATTTCTCCACCACTAAACCACTCAGAGGCCGTACTCTTTCCAATCTTTTTTGCGGAAGATGTTTTCCAGAGCAGCCGAGAATAATTTTGGTGAAAGAGGGTCTTTGGTCCCTGTCTTACTCCCCTCTCCATCTTGAACTTTTTCCCAAGGTTTCCAGTTGGATTCTCGCTTCTCCATTCATATAGATATTCTTTATGATATTGGTGTAGTTCGATGGTATCCCCTGCTATTCTAAGCTGTTCCATACGGCCATGTGCTCTATGCTGTCAAAAGCTTTAGAATAATCAATGAATGCCATGTAGTTTCTTATTATACTCGTATTTTTCTATTTGTTTCGTTGCATGTATATGATCTAGAGTGGAGTATTTTTGTCTGAAGCATTTTGATTCTTAATCGAGGATAAATGTAGATGTTTTTGGTGGCCCAAAACTACATTTATCCTTGATTAAGTAAAGTTAATTAATACATCAGAATCTCCTTACCATCTGGTGGGCTGTGTGCTCGTTTGTCAACATTATTATATAAAAAAAATGCAATGCCTTTTAATTGAGCTTGAATCATCCGTTTTCATCACAGAGCGATACATGGCAAATGGAGTTTCGTACATCATGTTTTAGAAAACATTTGATGATGCCGAACTCGGACGACTACGACCTGAGATGGTTCCCTCATCGAATAGTGTGGGTGGGATGCGGGTTCACAGAGTACAGCCAACGCTCCGTGTGGTAGTTTGGAGCTGTTCTATATATTCTGTTTATGATTCGGAACTTTGATAGCGCGATTCAGGCTTCGGTGTGTTTCGCTTGTGGCGCGACGACAACAAGATATTTGCTTAAGATGCCACGCTTGGCAAGCAGGTTGGCAATAACAGTTAGTTATTTTTATTCAGTTGGTATCAGGAAGATGCTGCTACCCGTCTCCTGCTTCAGTTTTCCTCCGTCGCCTTTTACGACACCACGAGCCGGTACATTTGCACCACCACTGCCATACACAGGTTTATTAAATGTAATAAAATTACGCTTCTAATTAATAATAGTATAACAACCGCAATAGATGTGTTATTTTAATTTTTCTTTTAAAGAAGGAACTAAATATAAGCTGTCACATACCGCCTCCTGACGTTGCGTAGTGTAGAGTTCAAGATCGAAGTACTGCGGAATAGCCACTAAGTTTGCAAGTTTTTCAGGGTCAGCACCGAACTTTTCCAATAATGCTGGTAGTGTAACCATGAAGTGAGCAGTCATCTTCGCGCGATCATCGCTCACCATCTGCAGAAACACAAAAATTTACACTAATTGGGCTTTAATAATAATATGTTATCAAATATATAAAAATTAATGTCTGTTTATTCGTATGTTATGCGCTACCATACCATTCACTAGATTGCGGTAAAACTTTGTCAAGTTATTGATTGCACTTACGCGAATGTTATACGAGGGCTGATCCAAAAGTAATGATAATGAAAATAAAACACGGTAATTAGAGTTAAAATAATAATTTATTTTTCTACATAGTCTCCTAACAAATCAATACATTTAGTCCATCTTTTTTCTAAACCCAAGATTCCCTTTGAAAAAAATTCTTTGTCTTGACCCTCCCAAAATGCTTCAACAGAGGCCATTACTTCGCTATCGTCTTCGAATTTCTTGCCTCGGAGGCGTTCCTTGAGCCGAGGAAAGAGGTAGAAGTCACTAGGAGCTAGATCTGGCGAATAGGGAGGGTGTTCGAGCAGTTCGAATCCCGTTTCTTGAATGGCAGCCATCGCAACTGCGGCTTTGTGAGCCGGTGCGTTGTCTTGGTGAAACAGCACTCCAGCTCGCAGTTTGCCGCGTCTTTTTTCCTTAATGGCCTCCCGTAATCTTCTTATTTGGTCTGCGTAGTAAGAGCCCGTAATAGTGGCTCCCTTTTTCAAATATTCCACCATAATTATGTCTTGAGCGTCCCAAAAAACAGATGCCATAACCTTACCCGCCGAACTTGAAACTTTGAATTTCTTTGGCGTCGGTGAGGAGGCTCGCTTCCAAGTCATCGATTGTTGTTTCGTTTCAGGATCAAAATGGTGGATCCAAGTCTCGTCCATAGTCAGAAAACGGAACAAAAAAATTTCTTGATCTACTTGGAACTTTTCGAGATTGACCCTCGAAATGTCAACTCGATTTTTCTTTTGCTCGTCGGTTAACATTCTGGGTACCCAACGCGCAGAGACCTTTTTATATGCAACTCATTCCCAAGGATTCTTTGAACGCTGCCATATGAGATCCCTGTGACCTCAGCTACATGCCTGATGGTCACTCTTCGATCTGCCAACACAACATCTTCGACTTTTTTCACGTTGTCTTCAGTGAGGGAAGTGGATGAGCGTCCTTCGCGATGTTCATATTCAGTGGATGTTCTGCCCAGTTTAAACTCCTTGGCCCAGCGTGCAACTGTAGAATATGGAGGAGCAGAGTCCCCCAATGTTTCCACTAAGTCACTGTGTATGTCTTTTGAAGACATTTTTGTCAAACAGAGGTACCTGATGACAGCTCTAATTTCGTTTTTCTCCATGTTGATGTTATCTTTTTGACAGTTCATATTCAAATGAATGTATCTCCCGGAAATCGTGATCTATTTATATGATTTTTTTAGGCTGACGTAGTGAGTATATAAGCAAGCAAAAAATATTTTTTTTTTGGATTTTTATGCGGACCTGAAATAACCGATTATCATTACTTTTGGATCACCCCTCGTAGGCATAGAACAATTAACTTACAGTAGGTGGCGCGTATCGTACCGAGAAATTCTCTTGAAAATTATATATCATTTAACTTTAATGATTGTATTATCATCCCTAATGAATAAGCAATATAACTCTTTCAAATTTGAAATGATATTTCCATAATTCTAATAATCCTCCGTTATGCCGAAAATATTGCAGCATTAATTTTGAAATAAATATAAGGTAAAATTGAGGATTAATGTTAAGTACTATGTTAGACGAAAACACGATTCCGTAAAATTTTCTCGATAGAAAAATAATCCAAAATTACCTCCAAACCGAACAATAAACCGCTGGTATTCACAAAATACTTTAAATTAGATCATGAAACTTTGCATACTAACTGAACTAACTATAAAGCAGGGCTTATGTTTTTTATTTTTTTTTTAAATTACCATTATTTTCACTGTAAAAAGAAATTACTTAAACTATCGGCGTCCTGAAGTTTGTTCCTTGCCGCCCGATAACCTCCGTTCAGTTTCGTTTTAGTGTTGCCACTTTAGCGACTTTGTCGCTAGATGTAACGACTTTGTTGTTAGTTTAGGGAGTTTAATTCAATGTTTAGCGACAAAAAATATTCTGGCGACTTTTAGCGACATTTGCACAATCTGTACATACTTCAATTTTCCATCCATCTGACAACTTTAGGCGTAAGGAATATAGTCTATCCACTAACGAAATTATAAAATGTAAAGGAACCGAAACAAAGGTTCTTTGGATACGCTTTTACAAACACATATAAAACATCACAACAATATTCCTAATGGAAAAATGTTATGTTATTTATTTTTAATGTAGTAACAGGATTACCGAATCCTGTTAAAAATAAAACACGTAACATGTACTTACTTCAACAAAATCTCTTGCTTTTAAAATTAAAATTAATAACAACGTAACATACGTACGAAATAATTTTAAAATAAAAATGAAACGCCTTATAAATCCTAAAGCAACTAAAAGTCAAATAATCATTTTACATAGTACTTATTTTAAATAGTATTATTTAAAGTATTATTATTAACTTATTTTATGACAACAGAGAATTATTATTAAAAGTTTTATTTAAAATGAGAGTAAGCTATTTCCTAATTTGGTCGGATTACACCTACCACGTTGTTTTCACTCTTTATTTGTTTACATTTTATCTGTTTTATTTGCTTTGATCGGGACTTCCTCGATAGTTATATTTATAATATTCATTCTTGTCACTTTAGTCTTGTTGCGCGCAATACTTACGTAAGTACGTTCAGTGTTTTTTTTTAAATCTACTGTGTATCTAATTTTATCTGTTTCCATTTAAAAGTGATTGTTTGTTATTTAATTAAATTTATTATTAATCAAGATTATAAAATGAATGTACCGCTGAAGAAAAAAACCTGCAGTCAAAAATTCAGAAAGGAATGGGAAGACGAATTTAAATGGTAAATCCGAATTTTAGTTCTTTTCATTGAATTATATATATATAAAGATTGTATTTAGCGACATTTGGAGACTTTTTCTGTTACTAAATTCACTTATAACTAGGGACTTTTTGATGGCAGTCTAGATTGTTTCGTTTAGTCTTTCGAACGAAAGCTGTGTCGCTTACGATCAGAATACACATTACACAACAGAACATTAAATTAAAATGGCAAATAACCGTAATGAAAATAAGAAGCAACTGGGTTGGGTAAAGAAACAGACATTAATATGATAAACTTAATGAAATAAGTGTCTAACGACCTATCTACTTACAGTATTAGTGATTACAAACATGTCGGTAGAGATCATACGACGTACGGGGAAGTGGGGGCGAAATTAGAATTTGATCTGAGGTAATATAGGCCCTTAATTTCTTATAACATTCTATATGATTTTTCAATTTCGCTACTATATCCATTAAAAAATCCATTAAACTTATCTCAAGCAGTTTTTTCATGAAAATAAAATCACACAGCATCTTTTTTCTACCAGCTACTTTGTTGTATTCACGATTTCACTAACAAATTACGAATCACGAATAATTGGAAGAAAACACATTAAGTCATGAGCTCATGAGTTAATACTTCGAGGAACACCCGAACTGTGTAGATAAATATAGCAATGCACGTACATATGTGTGCGCTGTAGTTAGGAAATCACTCGACACTTTTTGGTTGATTGTTGCTCAAATGCTTTGATTGATTAAAATCAGGTGATATAAATCATCTTAACCCTGTAATCAAGAACTGAGGCACACAAGTGGTGGTGGAATGTGTGTGGGCGGTACCTTGGCCTGCTCCTTGGAGAGCGGCTGGTGATGTTTGCGCGCCGGGCCGCGGCCCACAGGCGGCTCGCCCGTGCTTGCCTGCCGTACGCAACACACCATCAGCTCGATCAGCGACGACTCCTGCACACATCATCGTCATTTTTTATGTATTCATGTATAAATAAATATATAAAACTACACAATTTCTCTTCTTCTACACAACATGGCTTTGAAGGCCAAATACGATTACCTGTGTTCAAACTATGGCCAAAGAGGCAAGACAAAGGCAGATAGTAAATGGCCAACATTGGTAATACTGTTCGAGTATGAAATGTTTATTTATTTTATTACTAATTACATAAAAAACAAATGATTACATTAGAATAGAATAGAAGAGATTCATATTTATTTAATGTAGAATATAAGAATACTTATTGAAAGTAGTTTTATAATTTTACTACTGGTTATGAAATAAACCTCTGTTCTTCCCAGAACCACCAGCAAGAAGCTCAGCTAGATTTTTTTAAATAAAATCAATTTACAATACCTGGTGTCATCCATCATGTACTCGTTAGTAGTATAATAACCCTTAATAAACAATTTTTGCTTCATAAAAATTTTAAACTTGTGGATTTAAGGCTTGCGTATTTTCCGAAATTTTGTTGTAAAAGCTTATACATGGCCCCCGTGAAGGAATTACCGACTCTGTGGAGTCAAGTAACCGGTATAATTAACTTGTGCTTATGCCTGATATTTACAGAATGTTTATCACAATTTTTAATAAAATAAATATTGTTTTTGAGTACGTACATTAAATTTTCTCTTCTCTAAGGGATCCCTTCGAACCTAGGTTACAAATTGCTCTTGTGCAAAACAAAAATAGTTTAAATGTCAGCCGCATTACCGCATAGCTAATTTCATATAATATTATGCTATGGAAATAACTAAAATAAACTAAACTAGCTGTTTCAATCCTTGTAAAGCCTCCAATATTTTACAGCAGCATATCCTGCAGAACTAAGTTTGCTAGCTAGTTTAGATATATGAGGGCCCCATCGAAGCTTCGCGTCAACAGTAATTCCGGGACAAACAGTAGATTGAACAAGACGCACAACCCCCCCCCCCCCCCCCCCCCCCCCCCCCCAATTTAACATTTTAATATTATTTGTTGTAAATTTAATAAATTTCGTTTTATTACTAAAAGCAAATTAATGACGCTAAACCAGTGTACTACTTTTGATATAATATTATTCACTTCGTCATATTTTAAAAATTGCCTTTTAAGTCGGATAAACAATGTAGTATAATCAGCAAATAAAACAATATCATGATTATTCCCTACCAAGTTTAATAAGTAATTAATATTAACTAAGAACAATAAGGGGCCAGTGCCCTGAGGTACACCCATAGATACTACCGATCTGGAAGAACTGCTCGCATTAATAACTGTTTGCATTCTATTATTTAGATATGATGTAATGAGTTTAAACGCTATGCTTGCTACACCATGATGATGTAGCTTCTTGATTAATGTCTCATGATGAACTAGTCAATAGCCTTAGAAAGATCACAAAATATACCCAAAGCATCCTCTCAATCCTCTCATGCACAGAAAATATGTTCTATTAGCTCTATATACGGGTATCAGTTGTCGAGCAAATTGATTTTTATGGAGCAATTTATTTACATTTAAAAAAAAACTTAACATTTAATATAACATAATTTTTTCAAAAATTTTACTGAGTGTTGGCAGTACAGAAAAAGGTCTAAAATTAGTGGGGTCTAATGTACTACCAGATTTACATATAGGTATAACTTTACTATGTTTTATTTAATCAGGAAACACGCCAGATTCAATACTAGTATTAAAAATAATAACAAATTGGGGTGCGATTTTATCTACTATAGATGCTATAACGCGATATTTACCTGTCTATTATCAAGTGCCTCCTCTCCAGGCCCTGGCTCTTCCAATAGCAAGTCAGTCATGCATTCCCAGTCCTTCATCATCGGATTGGAATCAATCAAAGAATCTACAAGATAAGCTCCATGCTCATGCAACTGTGGACAACATCATCTCTAGTTTATATACATTATATTCTATTTAACCGAGTTTCATCAATAGTTTTATTTAAAGATATGTTTTATTTATACATTATAGGTTCACATGTGGTCCAGGTGGACCCCCAGGAGTCCATAGGAGACCACACGGGGGTCCACGTAGACGTGAAAAGAAAACAGGGGTTCACAAGTTATAAGGGGGGGTCCAAGAAAAATTTCTGGTTTTCATAATAAAGAACAAAAATTTTGGCTTGGATTTACCTATCAACGTAGGCAGGTACGAGTAGTAGTAGCAGTCGTTCACTAGGTAGGTACGAAAAATATTCGAGACTCAGTTCAAACACAGAACTCAATAGAACAGTAGATAATAGTAATCTTTTTATATTTACGTGGTAGAGCCATTACTGCAGTTGTAGTATGGATGGTCGGCTCGACCGGGGAAGGACCACATTTGTGTGTGTGTGTGTTCACGTGTTTCGTATGGTGAGTGTAGAGAACCGGAGACCCTTTTTACTGGAAACGAGGCATTCCATCTTAGCCCTCACGGGTGACAACGCATCTGCATTTTTGTTGGTATGTCTATGGGCCGCAGCAACCACTTATCATCAGGTGGACTGTGTGCTCGTCTGTCACACTATCCTATATAAAAAGTACAAGTGTACACATGTCGAGACTTGCAAAGTGCCGCCCGTGCGCCCGCTCGTCCGAGATGCTTGTCGCTAGAGGCCTTAACACACGCGCGTGCTCACAGGTTTTGTATGCAAATGTTCCCAATGTCCGCTCTATATAATATATATATATATATTATATAGAGCGTCTCGAGAATGCGCGAAGTAGAGAATCCGCTCTATATATATATATATATATATATATATATATATATATATATATATATATATATATATATATATATATATATATATATATATAATTCCTTTGACGTTGCATACGAATAATATACTATACGATACGAATTAATTACTATTCTCATCTATTAAATTAGTCTCAGTACAATTTACAGTTGATTACCTGTGATCTGCGTATTTCACGATTTTATGAGTGATAATAAAGTTTTCCATAATAAACCTAGATTTTAATATCTTCCTACATATATACATTACGAGTCACGTTGTTTGTCCGCGATGGACTCCCTAAACTACTTAACCGATTTTAATCAAATTTGCACACCGTGTGCAGTTTGGTCCAACTTGAGAGATAGGATAATTTATTTTCCCATGAGTGGACCCACAATTTTTTTGCTAATTTAAGGATTTTTAATAGGACATGACAAAGGGTCATCGAAAAGGGCAGAACAACGTCTGCCTGGCAAGCTAGTTTTGTATAACCACAAGTATTATTTTAATAAATAGGACACAAGAAAATGTGCACCTTTTTTTCTTCTTAACACCCCCAATTTGGGGTGATATTTTTCATGAGTTTAGAGAATACAGTGGAAATGTAGCAGCAGGGGGTCTACCGAAAATAGTAAAATTTTGAAAGTGGTTCAAAGTTTTACTATTTTTAAAGTTTGGGAACCTCTGGTAAACATAGCCACTGTGGTTTAGAACCGGATCTACCCCCACCTCCCACCCCCTCTCATCAATGAAAAATTGTAATTTAAGGAAAGAAGTAAATATACCCCTCAATATGTTTTCAAAAAGTCTTACTATTTATATATGAGCATAGATGTTCAGAATATTGTGCAAGAAAAAACTGGGCCCACACCACATACTACTATTTCTCCGGAGATCGCCACATAAGGGACTAAACATCTCAGAAGTCACTCAGCGAGGTCGTCAGTAATAATAGAACATCATTATTATTATGGAAAAGAATATAGAAGTAGACTATTACACCAAGTAAATTAAAAGTAAAAGTAATTAATTACATCCTTAATTACATCCGAGTAGGTATTTAATTACGTGTCCATGAAAGGCGTCTCTACTTAGGGCAAATAAAGCTTTATTAGGAATTAATTCATTTAAAGCCAATAATGTAATATAATATAAACTTGGTTGAAAAAGCCCACAATACATAGCACTTAATGATCGTTTAGTATTTTGCAAGACAGTGTCGATTAAAACGAGAGACGCAAGGCTAAAAGGCCTGTTCACACTCAGTGTTCATAACAAAATGATTAAAGACATTGAATTTACTGATAAAATCTTGAACTAGTTTGGACAACAATCTAGACGCCTCAAATTTTTATTCACATTAAGACTTTAATGGGATAACAACAACTGACAAAACCTAAAAACAGATGGGGAAGAAAGGTTTTTAAGTGAGCACAACTTATTTATTTCTAGAAAGTGCAGTATTGGGTTACCCCTCACTAGGTGGGGTGACGATCTAGTGCATGCAGCTTAGTAATATATTTTGTATTGTATCAATTTAAGGAGGAGGTCTATGTTTAGCAGAGGGCTTGTGATGATTATAACGAGAATTGACATGAATGATAAAAAAAAAAATTCTTATATTTTTGTGCACTATTCCACCCAGTGACAAACGAGCACACAATCCATCTGAAGCTACTAGGTGGACTGTATGTGCGGTTTCTTGATACCCCAAAACAAGATGGCTGACGTGGCACGCGACAGCCTTGGACGATGCACTCGCTCTTCCTAATCTACTACTTCACCAGTGTCAAGGTGGAGGTTTACTTGAGCCAGTGAATGAAGTGGATGCTGTGGGGCTCATATCTATATCTACATCTATTCTTGATTTTACACCTTGCATTCTATTGTTCTTGACGACATCCGCAGAATGTAAGTGGGTGTGCTGCTATGGGTACATGGGTATCTGTCACAAAAAGAAATCTTCATCGGCTACTACGCTGGTTCGTATACCTTAGGTTGTTAGTATACCTCTGACTCGATGAAGAACTGCACGAGGTCGCGCAGCAGCGGCGTGTTAGGCAGACGCTGCTTGCCACGGCGTGAACGCGTGGCAGCTGTGGCAGCGCCGGCAGCCGACTCGTCGGCACGGAACAGCCGCACGTTGAGGAACTCCCCCGCCGCGGCCGCCACCGAGCGCCACGACGAGTACACCAGCTCGTACACGTTCTCGCAGTCTTTATCCGTCAGCACGTCCGGGTGCATCCTGCACGAGAATACCCCACATTAGCTATACGTCCTAGCCGCTCACTAAATATTGATCACCAAAGGAATTTTATTTTATTAAGCACAGTGCACTATATTATTAACAGTAGGGAAAGGTAGGATAGACTGCAAACTCAGACGATGCAACTACTATGATAAAACAACCCCAACCCGAGCATTTAAACCATTTCCCTACCCCACTAATCATATATGAATGTTTCGATTGTCTAACTATTGTGCCTGTTTTGCGGACAGGGAAACGGTTAAGTAATGGAAGTATTAGTAATGGCTACTATACTATCAGTCTTTAAAAAAAAGATAAAAATATAGTTAATAGCACCCCCACAGCTCTTGAACTTAGTTGTCTGACTGAAAGTTTTTTGTCTTTGCAACCCATTGTAAATATAAATATCAGTATTTTTTTTTCTTATTTCTAGTGAACATTACACATGATAAATGGCTAAATCATTCATCATTCTAAATCTAAATAAAATTTAAAAAAACTTTCTTCACTAAGAGACAAATGTGTTCATTACAATAATAAAAAATACTTCCTAATTTTGTTTCTTTTTTATTATCTCTTAATTTCACCTAATGAATCCAACATTTTTTGCCTAATAAATTTCCAAAATCTTGCATCATTTTCTATAGACCATAGATTAAAACAAAAAAGGGAAGATATGGTATTTAATCGGAGAAAGTGGAGCAAGTAAATTAAATCTGACAGGCGCACTATAATTTTGCAGTAATCAGTGCTATAGTTTTGAGCGCCTTTCCACTTCATACATAATAAGTCGGTGAAAATTTTCCTCATATTTTGTTTGTATAAAATTGAAGAAAAATCTCTTGTTGTACTGTTTATATCTGGTTAGTTTTAATATATCAATACATATGGGATATAAAGAAAAATAATAAAAAGTAAAATACACTTTCCCGACGTTTTTCAATTGTTTTCTTTTCGAGTAAACTATCAACAATTGTTATTTTTGCAAAATTTTGTTAAATAACGTAAGTTTTGCTAAATTAACGTTCACTCAGCGCCATCTAGGAGTGAGTTAATTGATAAAATTAAAAATAAATTATGTGATAATTTCAGATCGAAAACAGGTCGCTAACGCATTCAATGACTTTTCCGCGTCGATTGGGGAGCTCAACCCCGAGCCGGTGGCAGGCGGCGGCGCTCGTGGCCGCCCTGTTCTCCGGCGGACACAAAACACCATGTACCTGAGCACAGTCGACTGTCCCGAGGTATATAAAATTACTAGCTGTTACCCGCGGCTTCGCCCGCATGGTCACTGGGAAATGAACTATCCATTGCTTTTTGAATTGAAAGAAAACTGAGTTTTATAGATTTGTCAGAGATGCAGCCATTAAAAGGAAACTGAGCAAAATTGATTCGTCAGCCTATTTAAATGTTTTGAAACGCAGCGTATAGGAAAGCATGAAAATAGCCTGTTTATTCCAAATGGAAATGGGATATTTTTTTAATTAAAGGAAACTGAGCATAATTATCCGTCAGGGATGCAGACTTTTGAAAAGAAACTGAGCTAAATTGATTCGTCAGAGATGCAGTTTTCTGAATTGATAGGAAACTGAGCCAAATAAAAGATCCGTCAGAGATGCAGCCTTTTAAGTTGAAAGGAAACTGAGCTTAATAGGTCCGTCAGAGGTGCAGCATTTGGAATTGAAAAGAAACTGAGCTAAATAGGAAATTTTGAGTTGAAAGGGAAGATCTGTGGGAATTCTGATTAATTGATTGTGGGAATTTTGGAAAAAAAAAACTAACTGAACAATATTTTAAGACACTACTGTACACAATGTTATATGTTTTTCCATTCGGGGAAAGAATGTGGAGATTCTGGGCATTTGACTCACGCGAACATGCTACATACAGCTGACCATGAGAGAAGCACGGTTTTTCTAAGTTGACCCCCGCTACCTGTAACGTTTGCCCTTGCGCTTTATTAATTGTCATTGCAAAACTGAGCTTAATAGGGAACTGCAACCTTTTGAAATGAAAAGGAAGATCTGTGGGTATTATAGGGATCCGTGGTATAATTACATTTTCACCTTTTTCTACGCTTGTCAAAATTGTAGCACCGATTATGTTCCGTCCAAGATGTGTCACACGTAGCCTTGTCCCGTTACATAACCGAGGAGCATCTAAATTTCGCATTAGCATGACTGGGACGCCTAATTTTAATTGAAGCTTATGTGAGGGCACACCTGACAACTCTAGAGAATTTAGAAACTCTACGGGATATGAAGTGCTCTGTTCTGTGTCTACTGACAAATACTCTGTTATTTCTCCTGCTACTTCGCTTAATATATCTGAATTTATTTTGTTAACGCTCTCATTTTTTGGTGCAAGAATTACCCTTTCACATAACCATTTGGCTTCATGCATGTTGTTCGTTAAATCTGAATAAACGCTCGCAATCAATTCGGAATGACTGTAGTAAATTACAAAAATCTCTCGTCAATTTAACGCAGCCCTCAGCATCCGTTTCCAAACGCCCATCGCCAATTTTAATAGTGTGTCAGCATAATTTCCAGCATTGATATCATTATACAAATGCACTCTCATATTCATAGTTAAACTGAATTTTGTCACCTTGTTCCATAAAATAGACGACTTGAGGCATGCTTTAATTTCATCTGCAGGTGTGCCCTTTTGAATGACAAGTAAGTTTGGCGAAAGTCCAGCCAGTAAAACCACCATTCCTCCCATTACATCGGTATTGCTGCGCAAATCCTGGAGCGTTCGATTTAGTGCTTCTACAGCTTTTTTATGCGACATTGTACTTTCGTTCCACACTAAAAGTTTGCATTGTCGTAGCATTATACCTTGTGTACTATTTTTGCTAAAGTTGCAGATCGGCGATTCTTCCTGGGCTAGATTTAGAGGGAGTTTTAAAACAGAATGTGCAGTGCGGCCCCCGCTTAGCAGCGTGGCGGCTATACCGGAGGAAGCTACGGCCACAGCAATGTTTTTATCTTTCCGTACTTGCGCTAATAATAAATTTAACAAAAATGTCTTCCCAGTTCCGCCAGGGGCATCTAAAAAGAAAAATGCACCATTTCCAGATTCAATTTGTCCTAATACTTTGTCAAAAACTCGTTTTTGTTCGGGAAGCAAGCGGGGTACAAATTCGGCTACTCGCTGCTGAAAAGCTGGTATATCGTAGTTTGTTTCACGTATTATTTCATCACTTAGTTCATTTTCGGTTGTTCGCTGAGGGCTTATCATTCCAAAGTCGCTTAATTTTTTGCCTACCATTGCCATTACTTTATCTTCAATTTTTCCAAGTGCTTCATTATAAATGTGTTCATTGTATGTCATGTTCGCGTGTGTCTGCTGTAACCTTCGCAAAATATCTTCCGCCATGTACTCTTTCTATTTGTCCCACAATTCATGTGCATTAGATAGCCCGCAAGATGATATGAGAGTTGCATAAAGATCCCTAATTTTGGCTGGTGACTGGCACTGCACAGCTTCCTCCATGCTTTCATCCCAGTGATTATCGTTTTCTAAAAGATGCAGAGCTTCACATGCTTCTCTATAAGTTGCGCATTCCTGACCGTTGACAGTTTTAAGGTCTTTATATCCTGTAGGACCCCGAACATGGTGCAGCAGCAATCGTAAACAGAAACATTAGTTACATGGACGGTATACACACGACCAAGGGCATCTGATGACTTTACACCGGGCCAATTTGCAACAGGCGCGCCTTGAATACGGCGTTTCCACTCCTTCCTAGATGTGTTCAAGTATAATAGCGGGGGACTTCAGAATATAACAACGTTTTTGCAAAGGGGTCAGTTTGACAAAGTTGAAAGAAGGCTGTTAGTGTAGTTTTGACGGTGATGCAATTCTTTCTTGGAAATTTCTTTCGGTGAAATATACACGCTCTCCATTTTCTAAGTGCACAGCAAGGTGAGTAACTGTTGGGTGCCTTTCGTGTAAGAGAAGCCAAGGAGACGCCACGCTGCCTCGTTACTGCTGACAACGCCCTGCTTGAAAGGTCTGTACTTCATTAACAGGATTTGCCTCACCTTCACTCCTGAGATTAAATATTGCTTGGTCGCTTCCTTTATTTATGTACTTACAGATATACTTGATTGCGCGGACAGAGCTACATGCTTCTACATTAATGTGGACATTAAACATTTTACATAGAATGGGCGAATACAGGACAATCCAGCTGTTATCTAAGGTTTCGAACGCTCCAGAGCGAGATTTGATTGTAACTTTCCTGCCACCATCTTCGGGAGCTCTGCGTCTGTATAAAGGGTAGCCATTGTCATTGTGCACTGTTTCTTTTAATAGCTGTTTAGGGAATTTCTTTGTACATTTTCCTTCTTTCACACATGGCGATATTGAATTTCGTGCTCTACATGGATCGTGAATCATATTTCGGACGATGGTATCATACAATTCTTTATTTTGCTCAGTATCCGGAATCTCGGCGCTTATTATGTCGTCTATTTGGCTGGGCCGCAACTTCTCTTTAAGCCATATTAGAATGTGGGCATGCGGTAATCCTCTTTTTTGCAATTCAATTGAATACATGAAGCACTGCACCTCTCCGAAAATTTTCACTTAGTTAATAACATACATTAATTTTTGTACTTTTACCTAAATACTCTAGCAACTAAATCGTGTCTGTCAGTACTTTTTTGGCCCGGCATTAGCTCCTCGGTTATTTCTTTCCATGTGGGATTGCAAGTAAAAGTAACAAAAAGATCAGGTCTTCCGTAAGTTCGTACATAGGCGAATGCGTCTTGTGTGTAGTCATGTAGGTAGCGGGGACTGTTAACGAATGATGAGGGCAGAATTACCATTTTACCTAAACCTCTGGGGTTTACATTGGCGTCGCTAGAAACTGCATCTTGTAAATGTATATAATTCTCAACGCGCAGATTTTTTCGATTTAAAGATATATAACGGATTCACTTTCTACCTTCACATACATGTCTACCAAAAATTGATGAAATAATTGTCTACACCGGGCTAAGGGATTAAAATCATTTTCTCGCAACATCATATCATACACATAAAAATCCATACATGATACTTTTTGTTCGGAGTAGGTTCCTTTATGACCGGGTTAATGAGTGGAATTTGAAAATGATAACCCTCGTGTCCTTTGCAATAAATCAATGGGTATTGCAGAGCGTCATAAAACTTGTGTGTATCGGCTACCCGTTGCAACGTATCATCACGTGCTCGCAAGACACTGTCTCGTGAAGAAAATTGATCACCACTAATTACGGCTGCTATTTCGTTTATCAAAGGTGCATTGCAGCGCCTTTCATGCTCTCCTCGAGGAGTCCAATCCGCGTGAATGACGACTTTATAATCCTCTTCAGGTAGGTTTTCTAAAGCAGTTTTAAATGTTTTGACTAAAATGTTACGTTCATGCAAGAATCTTTGAATTTTGAACACTGTGTCTCTCTCAACTCCCTGGATAAATTGGCAGCGATGGTCTACCTCAATTTCTTCGTCACCTATAAAAAATACTTGTACAAAGGAGAAGGGCGAATATGGGCCTAACTTTACACAAGTGAAATATTTATCAATATTTTTAAAAGTTTTTTTGTAGTTAATAATGAAATATTAAGCAGTTTTAGCATGGCAAAAGAAATTAAATATTTAATAAGAATAATACTGACTTTTTTATTTTTAAACAATGCTGCCAGATGAAATAAGTTAGTTAATCGATTTTAATACAAAAATAGAAAAAAAAAACAATAAAAAGTGATTCAGTCTTTTCTTCTTTAGGTAAGTTTAAGATACTTCTTATTTAAATAATGGTTCCCTCGTGACACCTTAACGTTTCAAAATAGTCGTAAAAATAAATTGACTGAATAAATTAATAAATCGATTTCACAATCGATTATCAATGTTTTATACAGGTCACAAAACGGAAATGTCAATGTTAGTTTAAAAACTAAAAACGTCACTCAAATCATTTGTTACTTTTCTTCACAGAGTATTTTTATATAGGGAACTTTTGTTTGGCTCTGAGCTTGCGGTGGTAGTGAATGTTTTCTGTTGTTTTTCTGTATTGTAATAATATTCCCATCTTTAACAACTCTGGCTACGTATAAAGGATTCTGACGGTTTCATTTCTGATTTTACAATAATACATGTGCAAAATGATAAATGATTTTCCCCAGCTCACACACAGTAATATAATAAAAATATCTTTAAGTATTTATAAAATTAAATGGGTTAGATCCCATTATGGTGAACACATACAAGATGGGAGATATGAAATAGAAGTGTGTCTAGAAACGGACAGCAACCTACTAAGAGAATTGTCTTTATTCGACCTCTTAATAGCCACCTAGAATGGTACTATCCAACCATTCTAGCTGGCTATTGAGAGGTCGAATAAAATCGAGACATATACTTAAGCTCAAAAACATATTTTACATATATTTTAGTTGACAGTCCTCTTAACGGTAGAGAGATCATCAAACAGTATTATTTCAATTCTTTGGTAGGAAAAAGAACTGTAAGTTGCTGTTGTCATGTAATGTCCATAATATGGTACCTAAGCTGAGCAAGGCGTCAAGAGAATTTAATACCGTCTGCAGCGTTTTTAGAAGATATTTTATTTGTTTATGATGAACGATTAATAAATCATTAAAAGAGAAAATGTTTTTAACTCATCCTCCTTCTGCTTTTTTTATAATTATTTCAAACTTCTAGAATTTAGTTGGACGGCGGCGTCTGAATCTTCTATTTGTGAATGTTCTACAATACATAAAATTATGGTGAAGTCTAGTTTACAATAAAGTGTAATAATTATTTTCTTAAAGTGTAATGTAAGAGCTTGGTGTGAGAATAACATTGTATGCATAGTATAAGCAAAATAACAACCTATTTTTTTCTACCATGAAGCACTCGTAAACATTTTAGTTTTTTTTTAAATGGTATTGATATATAAATAAAATAATACAGTAATCGTTTCTGTAACAACAGGCCCAGCTTTCTATGAACTTTCGCCCGTCTCCTTTATGCTGTTCGTTTTCATCTGGAAAAAGTGAACCTATTCTATGATAAATTTGCCCTTGCACCGTAAATGTAGGCAAAAATCCCGGTTCCAAAGGTTCTTCTGGCTCCCCAAGTAATGGAAGAGACACTTTGCCATTGGAACAGCATATGCCTGCGGTCTCATCTTTCCATTTTAAAGCGCTGCAAAATCGACACGCCTTGTCCATCAGTCCGATAACAACTAAACTGTGATTTTTATAATCAATCAACGGATCATAAATGAGTGCTGCGTCATTAAAAACCGACCAATTGTTTCTTTGAAAATTTTGTCGACGTTAAGCTTGGAGCTGTGCATTAGCATCTCTTCGCGCCTGTGTCTGTTCTGGTGTTTCAGACGCCCTTATAGTAGATTGACGTTCAGCTTGCTCAATGAGTCTGTGTTGAGTTTCATCAGGTGTTTCCACGGCTCTTAAGGCGGCCTGACGTTCCCCTTGTTCGAATAGCCTATGCTGAGTTTGAGCAGGTGTTTCAGTAGCTCTTAAAGTAGCTTGACGCTCTGCCTGTTCAAGACGCCTTCGCTGACTTTGATAAGGTGTTTCAGAAGCTCTCAAAGTAGCTTGACGATCTGCCTGTTCAAGACGCCTTTGCTGACTTTGAGAAGGTGTTTCAGAAGCTCTTAAAGTAGCTTGACGCTCTGCCTGTTCAAGACGCCTTCGCTGACTTTGAGAAGGTGTTTCAGAAGCTCTTAAAGTAGCTTGACGCTCTGCCTGTTCAAGACGCCTTCGCTGACTTTGAGAAGGTGTTTCAGAAGCTCTTAAAGTAGCTTGACGCTCTGCCTGTTCAAGACGCCGTTCCTGACTTTGAGAAGGTGTTCCGGAAGCAACGGCCTTTGCTGACGTTGAGAAGGTGTCTCAGATGCTCTAAAAGCAGCCTGACGCTCTGTTTGTTCTTGCCTTCTCAGTTCAGCATCTTCTAAAGATTCTAGCGATCGAGCTAATCTTTTCGCTTGTCTTTGAGAAGATATTCTTGAAAGCTAGACTTACATTTGCGAGGCATTATAAAGTAACAATAAAAAACGTGTGGCACTCGGGGACTGCCGCGGTAAAGCTATTGCATAGCATTTTGTATCAACTTATGCAATTATAATTATTTTTTATTTATTTTATTTATGCAGTATTTCTTTTTCTTTGATATTAATTCAAGTTACACTTTTTGAGCGTGGTGACCGATAATAAAACAAATTTAAGAGGGCTACTTTTAATATCGCTCATTTTAATATCAAAAATTTAGGTTATCTTTATAGCAAGCAATATTATATTTTCAATTCAAAATTAATACTGCATTTGTGATAATAATAAAATGTATGTATATAAAGTACTCACTCATTCTCTTTCACTATTTTTTCGTGACTTTCTTCATTAATAATAAATGCACTTTGTTCATTCATATTCAAAACACTTTATACACAAATTTTACAAGTACAGCTATTCACTGTTGTACATAAATACCTATACACCTATATACTTTCTCATAAACAGCTGCTTATGTATTCGTCCGATTTCGGAGCACCTCGTCTCTATTCGTGCGAGCTTCGTAGAGTCGTACAATACATCTAGTTGCACGCACACAAACACCGTGTCGAAGACTGCCACAGAGTACTTTTTTATATATAGGCTGCCGAATAGAAACGACGTTAGACAATGCACGGCCTTCAAGCCACACCTCCATGCCTGTTGGAGTGGGGAGCGTGAGGTTTTTTTTTCGTTACGGAATTTCTGGATTCGGTCCCCGCGCTCAAGGCCCGCGATAGAAGCTATGCAATAGCTTAAAAAAAACTATTTATAAAAAAATGTTGAAATACCTAAAAGGAATTAAATTTTCTTTTAAATATTTTTTTAAAAGCAAATACAAAATATCTAAAAGGAATAAATATTCCTTTTAAATATTTTTTAAAATCTAAACAACAAAACCAATTCAAGACACAACACGAATCCGAAAACGATAGCCAAAAAAATCGAATCAACTTAAACCAAATCACAAAACAAATCGCAGAAAACCGAAATCGAAAGCAGTAGTCAATATAAATATAACCAACGAAAAAAGAAGTGTATAGGTACCGTATACACTATCTATACTATTAATATTCCTTTGAAATATTGTTAAACAACCTAAAACAACGAAAACCAATTCATGATTCTAAATAAACAAAATCCAAAATCAAAGCCACAGTAATATGTATAAAGGAATACTAAATATGTATAAAGGAATACCAACCAAATCAACAAAACCGATCCAAGAAAATACACAAATCCGAAAATGAAAGCCAATATAAATCCATTCAACCTTAACCAAATCACAAAGCAAATAAACAACCGAAATCGAAAGCAGGTAGTCGAATAAGCTACGAAATAGAAACAATTTAACTGTATGCACTATAAGTTGACGCGCGGCTCAATACATATATATATATATATATATATATATATATATATATATATATATATATATATAATGCGTTTTATGGTGTTTAACAATAAAAGCCATTGACAGATGACAGTCAAAATATTACATACACTGCAAAGCCTATATAAACACCCATTACATTATTGGAACAGGCTCATTAACATTATTTTCTAAATTTAAAGTATTTTAAACAACTTACTTTAGAATAGCTATAACAAGTTTAACAGCATGCACTGCAACCTCGGTCTCTTTGTCTAATGTCATGGACACAATACGGTCCTTAAACTTGGAAGTGAACAGCTCCAGCTTGCTTTTCAGCTCTTCACATTCATACAATGGCTGTAGTGCTTGCAGACAACGTAGCCGCACTTCTCCTACCTACATTTGCAAATTTAAGAAAAAAGTTAACTTTGGTAAAATAATAAAAATACACTTGATTGCTGCAGTTAAAACACATTGTTAATTTAAAGACAACTTGCCACACTCAAAGTTTGTTGTCCACCATTGACCATTGTTTCCATACATTTTAACTAGTCATTGATACATGAAGTAATCCGAGTGCAACAGTAACTAAAATTTACATGATAAGGAGTATATGCACGAAACAGTTCTCACCTTGTCGTGCAAGGTCCAGCCAATGTATTTGAGGTAGAGATCATCAAGGAAGTGTGCAGGAAACTTTTCCATCCAGATGCCAATCTCAGCCATTGTAATTGCTCTTATATCTGGCAATGTGTCTCTAAAAAGAAATAAAGATCATATTATACGGGCTTCATTTATCCATCCATTTATTATACATTATAGTCTACTGCTGTTATTTGCACTCAACTGTGAGTCATAAGTACAAGAAATCCATATAATATATAAATTATAATATGCAATTTCAGTAAACCCTAATTATTATGAGCGAGCACCTCTATATCTCAATCCTATATAGCCTCTACTCTACATCATCCCTAGGCGAGGTAAGGTCCTTGTGGTCAATATATTACAGTAAAATATAACTATATTTTACTAGGTAGCAGGACCTGTTACCTATATCTGCCACACAAATAGCAGCGCTTGCACTGAAGTGTCCAGTCTGAAGGAGCAGGAGAGCCAGTACAATTACAAGCTGTGTGGCATTCCATTTTAGGCCTCAGCCTCAGAAGATAGATAACAACGCATCTGTAGCCTTCTTAGTTCAAAGATGGTTACGGATGTCCACAGACTCTTAGATAACATTTTTGAAAATGTTTGTAAGGCAAAACAAGAATGGTGTATAGAATGAAGACTAAATTTATAAGTATATAATGTGTAAAAATACACACCTGTATCTGTGCACAAAAACAGACTTAAACATGTATGAAAGCATGTTCTTGATCTCCTCCATATTCTCCTCAAGCTCCTGCCGCTTAGCCACAAGCACTTCGAGCCGCTCGTTGGCTCGCTTGTCGCGAGCTTTCAATCGCTCAGCTTCATACTGCCGCAGGCAATTGTCACAATTCACACTTGTCAAAAGTGCCACATCCACCAGCGCTGTCATCAACTTCATTACTGACAAAACAAATATTTTAAAGTCATTCAAAATGAAATTCAAAATTAAGTTTCAGTTTATTCCATTCACACACACTTAAGACACCATAGCGGTGCTTCATGATTATAAACAATTCTTTGAAATGTGTCCAGAATCCAGATATATAATAATTTGCCACCCTGTGCCTGATCTCTATATATAAGAGTTAGAGATTAAGGAGAGCCCCTGCAAAGTGCAATATACTGCACAGATGGCTACTCATCATTGAACTGGCCGGCATGACAGAAATTACACCTGGAGAATATTATTTCATTTGTCAAGAAAAAGAACCGAAAAGCAATTTATCTTGACAATTCATTCTGATGGGCAGTCATGATATGTCATGATTATGACTTAGTATAATAAAAATGTTTGGAATACAAGTTTATCAACAAGTAAAAAATATACCTGGCAAATATTAATGTGTGGATAAGCTACATTCTACACTTACAAAGTACTAATAAATAAAATAATCTTTCTAATAAGAAAAATAATAAAAAGAAGCCATAATATAACAAAACTACCTGCTAAGGTTGCAGTATGCCTGAAAGCTCTCACTTGAGAATCAGACAGCCCAGTTAGCAATGATATAATGTTGTCCATGAGGTACTGGTCATATATGATTGAATATTGACACATCTTCACCAAGGTCTGTATAAATTCACAGAAATTGGAACGGAACTTCTTCCATGTTTGGCCACTCATAATTAAAGGATATTCACCACTTTCCTAAAAAATTTAGAAACAGAAAATAATTGACTTAATAAATCTATCAGCTAATTCCAATGTACTGCAAACATTTCTTTAAAATTAAACTTATTATAAGGTTCTACAACATACCTCATCAAACTCTTGGGTCATTTTCTTAATTATAAGCGTGTGGTCCATGGATGCCATATCAGGGGTTACCTTGCCACGGCAACCAGAGGAATTGATGAAAAATTGCATTAATTGGACTAAAGCACTTTCCCTATTACTCTTGTATTCCTCTATCCACATATCTACAACTTGCTGCAACGAGAAAATGAAGTATTTTGTTGAAACTCTTCGTAAAGTAATACAACATACTTGTACTTGCTTATCATTATTAATGTAAAAGAAAAATCCAAAACAAATAGACAAAGCACGTTTATGTTGCATACGTAACTGCAAAGCCGCCCAAGGATGCCCTAGATGGAAGTTTATAAACCAAATTGGCCATATATTGAAGATAGACCAAAGTAAGAGTACCCTTAATTGCCGAGCATCTGTGTAAAGGAGGTGAGAGAAGTGTGTCAGGATCATGCTAAATGGAAGTCCCTAATCTCTGCTTACCGCGCTATGTGAGGTGCGTTAGAATTGTATGTTAACAATACATAACAATAATTTAATCGAGAGAAACACACATTTTAGTTTTTGTGTTGTAGCATGATGCGGACAGTTACAGAAAGTAATTTACGTGCGTTTGCAAGATACAATGAAATTTTTATATATTTTTTGAGTTTGACTAAATTGTTATAAATAATTGTGAAAAAAGAACACAGAATTTCTTTTTATTAATTTTTCTTTTAATATTTAATTTTTCTATTCTGTTATGACTATTAGATTATCTTTAACTTCAAAAATCTCACCTTATTATAATTTTTTTTAAATAATAAAATTGTAAAGTAAAATTTATTCTACTTGTGTATGCAGTTACATATTATACTTACTAGCGGTGATTTGTTTTTAATTACTAGAGAGGTGCTCCATCAGACGCAAAAACCGTCTAGCGAATACAATCACAAAAAATAAGTAGGATAATTCTTTTTTAGTATGTATGCTGCAGTTTTGTCTTATTCATGTATACAAAATTTTTGTAGCTTACAATTCATGTACATCATTATAAACAAATAAATAGAGAAAGTGGTAAAATTAAAAAAAAATAGGATAAATACTCCTGCATCATAAATGTGCTTTATTAATTTTCTGTAAAGCAAATATAGTTTGTTTTACAGAAAAAGAAGGCCATTAGAGCAATTTATGATTTAAAACCTAAAGAGTAGTGATGTAACAGATCTCTGCTTCTGTTTCTGCAACTTTTATAACAAAAATTGGATTGGACTTGATAACGGTACTTCCCCCAAATGGTGCCGAACTCAAATTGATGATAAAGTCCAACCTATGTCATCATCAACAATGAATTTTTCAATACAAATGTTAGCGTTCTATGTAGCACGGATGGATGGGCTCGACTGGGAAAGGACCATGCTCTCACAGAATACCAGCGTAAAATAGCAGCTTATTGCTGCTGTTTCGTAAGGTGAGGTAGAGAACCGGAGAACTTTTTAACCTTTATATTCCATCTTAGTCTTCAGGGGTTTATAACGCATCTGAATTTTGCTTCGTAATCAAGAATAGATGTCTATATCCATGGGCCACAGTATTCAATTGCGATCAGGCGGACTCATGCTCGAGCTAGTTTTCACCCTTGTTCTATAAAATAAAAAATATGTCAAATATGAAGGAAGCCCAGCAAGACTCAACTACTAATAATGAGAGTGATAATCTACTTTTAGAGATACAGTCACATACATTAAAAAAAACTTTTGCAGTATGTGGTGGAAATGGAATGCACACAAATATCATAATCTTTTACCAATAGTGGCAAAGGGACTTGGTGAACTAAGATACAGGTTTTACCTAGTTTAGGCACCAGTTTTTTACAACAACAATGATAACAATAGTATTGTTTCAGATGTAAGCATATATTATTCTTTGTTGCTCTCTTCTTACATATTGTTGGTGGAAATAAATAAATAACCCCTCCATCCTTAGCAAATAAGCATTGGCAAGACCCAGCAGTACAGTGCATCCATCCGGGAGACCATACGGAAGGAGAAGGAGCTCCACGGGAGCTTTTACAAGGCTCTTAATGAACCTTTCATAGACTTGGTTGCCTTCCTCCACTGGCTATGTTTCAGTGATCTTTTCGGGGAAACTGTGGGTTTTGTCTGTGCAATACAACATCATGTTATTAAGAGCAGCAACTATCGGAGATGTCGACGGTGCCATCTTTTAGGATCTGTCGAGCGAGTCGCCATCCCGATGAGTCACTTAAGCATGTAATCTCTGGTTGTTCGGCGCTTTTTAACACTGAGTACTTGCACAGGCACAACCTAGTAGCCAGGATTCTCCATCTGGAGCTCGCTCTGAAAAAGCTCTTGACTGCTATCCACTGTGACTCAATTTGTTGTATATGAGTCCTGTCTTCAGCCACAAATGGATTATCTGGGTCAGAGTGATTAACTTATTTATGGGTGTATCTGTGTTAAAAAACCAAATTGACTTAAGTATTTGCATTTTGTTACATGCAAATATTTAGTGAAATTTATTTTTATCGTAATTAATTCAAAAGGCATTTTCGAAATTCAAAAACAGTGTAAAAAGTTCGAGCTTAACCCTGACAAACCTCCTAAATTGAAAACAAAATTAAAAAATCAAGTACCGAAAGTCTACTTTATAATATGAGAATAAAGTGACATATTTGTGTTTTGTTATAAGCAATTTTTAGTGAAATTTGTTTTGATCATAATTAATTCAAAAGGCATTTCCAACATCCAAAAACAGTGTAAAAGGTTCAAGCTTAACCCTGACAAGCCTCCATAACTGAATACATAATTAATATCAGATCCAGTACATATCTATAGCCAACCCAAAATGGCCAAACTACTCTTCATAAAATATAACTTACAGCCTCTTAATTTGAAATATTAATTTAACAAAAATTATATTTGTAGAAAATTATAATTTTTTCGCAGAATTTATAATTCCGATTCTGCATCCGTTTCCATTTCAGTTTCTGTCAAAATTTACTTTTGACTTCCATTATAACACTTCTGTTGCATCACTACTAAAGAGCTGCTCAGACAAAAATTTAAAGAAATTAATATATTAACTTTGGCCTCTCAATACATTTATGAAAATGTAATGTACATACACAAAAATAAAAGTAGTTTTACAAAAATAAGTTATATTCATTCTGTAAATACTAGGAAATTATCTTCACGGAGATCCCCACCAATATTGATCTGCTCCATCAACAGGCCCTCAACAATTTATGTAGAGTTGCTACCCACCTGCTACTATCTAAAAAGCCCAAAGCCTTAAACTTAAGAAACCATATCAGTCCCCTGGTGGTTTCACTGGATTGTCACAAGCATACCTACCTAAGAATCTTTGCAAATATACCTATCTCAAACAAAAAATGGCAACTAATTTGTTTAAGCCATCCTAAGGAACAATAAACTAATACTCAATTTAATAAACCATAAGCGCTTATTGCAGCTCCCCCCTTGCAAGTTTACACCATAAAACTTATCTAAGAACCATTGTTTGTAGATACATGGAAAAATTTTGTTTGCATTTAGTAAAAAATTGGTATGTTTAGGATCATAGGTTGTTTGTGTGTACAAGCAAACTTTCACCCTAAACACATACCTACACATTCTGTTCCTTTATGAGTAAAAATATGTTTACAATATATAGAAAATAAATGAAACACTAAGAATTGATATCACTTTATTAAAGAATTAACTTATCACTGACAATAAGTTAACTCTTCAATAAATATCAAGAACTTACGTTAATAGCAGTCTTGTTAAATCTTAGAATATTGTAGAGACTGTTCTCATCATCACCCGGCATGAGAACAGGCGGTGGTGAAGACGCTGGTGGTGGAGCCGCACCACGGCCGCGGCCACGCCCGCGACCACCCCTTCCACGCCTGCGCAGAGGAGGCGGTGGCGGAGACTCCGCTAATCTGCCTACGAAGCCACCATCTCCACCTCGTCCTCGACTTCTCGTAATACGCTTCGTGGGAGCTGGAGATGGTGAGCGAGCTTCTTCTTCCTGTTGTTCCTCTGGTTCGTCTCTCGGCGCTTCTGTTGCCGTTGAATTTACTACTGCTCCAACATTAAATCCTGAATAATTTACATTCGGAATTTCTGGTTCATGAATTGATTGTCCACCATAATCAGTCATTGGTGTTGCCGGAGTCATCGGATTCACATACTCCGGAGGAGGATCATCCATTCGGATTCTTTTCCCGCCTCGCCGATGCATCTTGTCCTCTTCGTTAACTAGAAATAATTACTAACTACATTTAAAAGTACTATTTTGTATCTATAACGCAACAACTTGAACGCCTGACAAAGATTAGGAAAGCATTAGTACAATGCGACTTATTTTTACGATTATTGATTTACACAAAACTCGCTTCCCTGTTTATTGATCCTAAAAATCAGAATCATAGATAAATAAATATGTAGCAAGCTATGATCAGAATCACAGATAGTCAGTGGAACCATGGAGGTTAGAAAACATTTTTTTTTATTTAACTGGCTTTACGGCTCTGGGTTCTAGCCCTTCTGAACCTATAACTTCTTTCAGAATCTTCATTTTAATTTTTTTTAATGTTCAACCCAATGGACTGTTGATGACGACAGCCACTCAAGTTCATAAGGCGCCCAAGCGATAAAATTTACTTGAGGTTTATATCAACATGAAACCACTTGTTTCGTCGTTTTCTCTAATGGATCACACGTGCAGACACATAATTCACGAAATCACATCACTTTTATGAATTAAAATCCACTTCAAACGATTATTCAAGCGACAAAACAGGAGCAACAGTCATCGACGGCCTAGTTCCCGCCAAAACCTCTCGGTTAAATGTTCTGTATATATAGAACGATCGCCGTAGAAAATAATGTCCCAGAATAATGGACACCATAAGTGTGGTGCTGCAATCGCTAAGTTCGCTCAATAAAAGTCATTTTCAGTTTATTTTTCCGATCAGATGCTAAACCACTTGCACATATCATCTACAATAAAATACTTCTCCATTTTTTAATGTTTCTTTTTGTCAAAAATTAAAAAATTACTAAGCATGAAAATTTCTCACCAATGTCCGTTATTCAAGTAACTTCATCTACTTGTACTCATAAACAGCTAACTTCGCAGCCACTACTCACAACTCACAACTTTCAGGGACAGGCGGGATATGCACGTAGCGATCGTTCTCCTGTTCTCTAGCCTCCATGGATTAGGGTGAGACGAAAAAACGAAACGTACCGGTGTGAGTCTTTGGGTATTAAAGTACTCTTACTAGTTTGTGGTATTAAACCAAAGGAGACGAAATCGCAAGGCAGACGCCTCTGTAAAAGGTACGAGAGTCCGACTCATACTCGTTATATAAAACTAGTTGCTCCGCGTCGTGAGTCATTCCGAAGTGATCGTGCCAGTAAATAGAGTTCCGACAATATGCCGACTTGCATTTACATGAAAAAAGCAATCAAAAATGTCAAGTATACAAAAGGACAATGTGGCTTTTAATTTGTGAGTATTTTTAACATAAAATTAAAGTAATTTTATCATTAAAGCTCGTACTTTGTGAATATTATCGTTAAATAGCGAGTGTGGCCATCATAGTTCATAAAGTGAAAAATAATCTATTTTTAAATAAATATAATTTGCTACACAAGTTATATATATTAACGAAAATATATTTCCTAATAACTAAATCAGTTTGTGATGAATAATAATCATTACATATAGATGTGTAGTGGATTTTGTTAAATGATTTATATATTTAGCTCAATTTCAACACGATACTAAATATTATACAATTAAATATAATCGATAACTAGTATTTATTAAAATATTATACAAAATACAGGCCAAATAAGTCAAATCGAAACTTGTTACCTCGCAGCAAAAGTGTGCAATTTTTATAAAAATAAACTGGTATCACTGCAACCGAAAGTATTGCACTATAGTGATGAACGCCGCAACTTTAGCTATCGATGACTTAATTAACCATGCGGGTTTGTCTGCCGAACCGGTTTGTAGTTTTTATTTCGATTTTATAATAAAGTAATACAAAAAGTAGTAAATTTTTCTATTATTGGTTTTGTTATTACAGATTTCCAAGAGATCCTCTTAGGCGGCACACTTTGATTGTAGCTTGTAGAAACCATGAACCCGACACTTCAGTACCAATCTTGAACTTGTGGGATGTAATGTTTGGCTGTAATTATATTTAGATTAAATATTTTTATTATTAACTTTGACACCAATATTATTCTATTTGAAAATATTTTATTAAGTTTACAAAAGCATTAACCTATCAAATTTAATTCATATATTTATATGCCTATTATTGTAATTGTAACCTTAATCTAGTATAATTTTTGTACGCCATAAATGGCAAAACATGTAGCTGGTTTTAAGTTTTTTAACACTTGTATTTTATTTACTCATGTTCTACAAAATAAACCGACGCTCCGGGAAGTCTGCAGTCTGCGAACATGTTCAAGATCGTCCCCACCATTACATTAGATTTGATAAACCACAAATTCTCGCAAAAGAACACCGATTCCTACCAAGGATGATACGCGAGGCTATTGAAATTAAAAAAACATCCAAATTTCAATAGAGAAGATGGTTGGGTGCTACCTTGCTTGCTTGCTTGGGATCCTATAATTAACAAAATTAAGCCCAAACCCAAGCATACCACGGCAAGACTTCATGATACTATAAGCTCGTTTTGGACTAACTATGACATTGGGACGTCAAACATCTCAGTCCCCCCCGTGACCATGGGTGCCTTAAAGCACCCGAAACGTCGGGATAATAATAAAAAATAAATTAAAGTAATTAAACGCGATAAAATCCATAAATAATAGTTTTATTCAAAGTGTTTTTAATTCTTTTTCCTGTTCAGAGGTTAGTTGTGTACCACATTGTAATGATGAATCATCTAACAAAAGCGCAATACTTACTCCTACCTGATTACCACTGATTACACAAAAGTGCTTCGCCAATTACCATGCCCCGAGTTAATAATTGTCCAATTTTAAAATTAACCTCCTTATCTCCAATATTTTGTACAACAACCCCCCCCCCCCAGAACCTCCGCACAAATTGTATTCTCCGGGGAATAGATAATATGCTTCACCATTGTTTAACCGCCTAATACTCCCATTGACATAAACTTTGCCATTATAATTTTTGTCTTTACCTTTCGCACGAACTAACTTTGTTTCAGCAGTCTGTATTATTAAAGAAGTTTAACAAAATAAAGAGTACTTTTGCAAATCCGTATTGACTAATCTTCTTAATATAATGTCTGTATCTGTTTTTATTATTTGTAAATTAGGTCTCTCTGTAAAACTATGTCCGAGGAGAACAGGACAATTAATTAAGGCATCATCTATAATAAGGGCTTCCACATTATTTTCCTGGACACCCAGAACCTCTTATAGTCACTAGGGCTTTACCTAATGGTCTATAGGGTACATTTCCTAATCCCCTGAGCACTGGGCCTTCAACTTGCCGCCAGTTTAGTCCTAGGTTTTGAGGTGTACTAAGGTGGATCAAGGTACCCTCACTGCCGAGATCGACATGACAATTCGTAAGGTGGCCATTAATTTTCAATGGAATCTTATATTTACTACTCGTATTTGCCGTGTTATCTACTATAAGAACTGATTTTAGATTTCCTTCCTTGGTACCTCGATTCTCCCTAGGGCACTCAGAGCTTATATGTCCCAAAAAATTACAATTATTACATCTAATCTTAGGTTTATTACAACGAAAAAATGGATGTCCTATCTCTTTACAATTAAAGCATGACATCTGACTAATTAGGCCTGTGCGCTGAGTTAGGTTTCGAAATAGGTTGTGTATTGTTAAGTATCGTAGTATTTGATCGACCTTCTCTGTCTTTTAATAAAAATTTATCATTGGAGTTTTTGTTTTGATCAGTTTTAATAGATTTGAAAAATTTTAGCACTTGTTCAGGTTCGCCAAATTCTGCACCTTGTGCCCCTAATCTAATATCCCCCTATCGTCAATGCCAGCAATTAAACAATCGACGGCCCTTTTTCCAAATATCTCACAACGATTGAGTAAGTTCATTTTTGAATAATAATAAAGCTCTAGCGAATCACCAAAACGAACTCTCTTATTGAGCATCTCTTAATAATTCTGCGTAGTTATCACGTGAAGGAAAAGACTCCTTTAGTTTGAACTTCCATTCAGACCAGGAAAAAATTAAAATAGGTAAGCCCTGATACCACGTTCTTGCTACCACACTTAATTTAGGCAAGGAGTAATGTATAATTTGTCTTTCATCCCAATTATAAATTTGGGCACACTCTTCAATCTTATGGATCCATGCGTCTATTGATTGTTCTTTACAAAGCAGGTCAAATTCAGGAATAACGTTATTAAAGACAGGAAATTTATCACGATCACCTACGTTCTTGAAATCCTTCATAACGTTTATAAATTTTTCAAATAATTTTGTTTCATTGTACCTTGATTCATCTATTGACGCGGGTGAACTGCTGCTTGAAGTCTTTCGTCGCCGCTGGTGGCGATGGTGCCGGGATTTATTCTCCTTGCGCTTGCTTAGCGACCGAGAACGCTCACGGCTGAACGTGCCTCGATCGGCTCGACGCCGTGACCTTGATGATCTTGTCTCTCGTAGCTCATCTCGCGAACGAGATCTCAGCTCTCGGGAATGATTGCCGATCCGTTTAGACATGATGGCTCATGAAATAAAAAGAAATAATTGTTTCAATACAAAAAAAGAAATTATAACTTAATTTAGTGAAACTAACTACTTATTCGTAAAACAATTAATGTTCATATTATAGTGAAAATGACGTTTGTGTTATTTTCTTTGACATATTTTATTTAAAAATGTTCAGCTAAAGTTAAATACTAATAACATACCACATATTATGTAGACTGACAAGTCAGTTATTTATTTGGGCCAACCATATATATTATGACCCTTTCCTAAGTTGAAAGAGTTATACTAGTAAAAAAACTGGTATCATTTGCATATTTTCGTAATTGATTATATTTCAGTTTTACGAAAAATATTACTAAAATTCAGACTATTATTTCCTCAAAATCGAGAAAGAAAAGTTTCGTAGCCATGCTTAATAAATTAACTAAGAAAGGATAAAAAGATATATTCTTTTAAAACTCTTTACTTACATTAGTTCCCTTTCAGCGGTATCCCACTTCTGAGATGTTAATATCGACGA